TAAGCAGGTTCGTGACCCGAGCAGGGCTCCAACTCACTAAACCACGATCCTCGGGTTGAGCAGCAGACACCTTAACCACAAAGCACCAGCTTCTTCATAAAAGCATAGTTTCATAAGCACATTTAATTTAATTAATTAGACTTACATCGAGAAGATCTTTGATAAGCAATGTCAACAATATGAAATCAGACTGTAATTTACATTTCTCAAATCATAAAGACAAAGATAATTTCTTATTCTCGTGAACAGACCATACTTGAGAGAAATCAAATCAGATCTTTGAATTTATCAATTCCTTTTCCAGGGAACGATTTTATTTCAATTATAATGTTACACGTGCAACAAAATATAAAACACATAATGCAGAAATACTAAAAGGGAAAGTAACCACACATCTTACCTGATTTCCCAACATTTTTGTCCCCGAAAACCGCAATACGCAAGGATGTCATACTTCCATATTTTCGACAGAATCATCACATTACGGAAGATATTTCATACGGACAGATACGCTGTAACATTTAACAACAGCTAAAGCCGGGATCAAATTTTATCCAGATAGGAAATACACTCCGCGACGGTATTAAATTTTCAAACCTTATGAATTTGACTATATTTGCTAAATTTCCATATTCTCCAATATCACATGTCGAGTATTACAGCGTCTATATTAGCTTTTAAGCAAACAGAGGTATGTTTACTATCTCTTATTAATCTGTGGACGTAGCTAGCGAATGCATTACAAAGATTTATTGTGTTATCTGGGGGCCAGGTTAAATAAGTATTTCATTTAATAGAAGAAATCTATTAAAAGGGTCATGATTTAACTCAGTGGGGTTTTATTGTTTTATATAGAGACGCTTCATTTGATCTGTTATGTTACCTACATGTACGTTGCAGAAGTCAATCAAGTGCTTATGATCAGCATCAGCGCACAACCTGCAATAAACATATTCATGAAATAAAATTTTAAAGTTTTAAAGGTCTTTCGGTAGACCTACAATTCCTTACAGAAATGCGAAATGCAGTTACCTAAAAAGATTTGTAGGACATTGCTAACACGGTGATTGTTGTAAAAGGGTGAAAATGACTGCGATGACATAATTAAAGTTCTGCAAAATGGTGCCCCACTAAAATAGTTCACAAAATTGTCATAAAATAAATTAAATGTATAACAAACGGGTACTTGATACTAATTTGGTTCTTGAAGGTCAACGGGAAATTATTTCATGATATTTTACTATTATTGGCAAGATAAATCAGCCAAATGCCTGTATGCTTTTGAACAAAGGCGTTTGGCACATTTGTCTTGCCAATAATAGTCAATTAAATTATCATAAATTATCTCCCCTTGATCATCATGAAGAAATGAACATTTTTATTTTTTGATCCGCGTTTAAGGCCCGTTTATTTCAAGAAAACAATACAAACATGATAACTATAGCATTTTTCTTCTTCTTCTTCCAGTATAAGAGCCGGGATCCAAAAGGAACGTAATGAGGCTCTGCGAAACTATGTACATGGTGAGATGGAACACTCTTCCTCTCAGCGATAAAAGTTGTAAAAACTGATAAAAATTTATTTACAGAGACGTTGTGAAGTGAATTTAGATGGAGGCCGGCAGGCGCGCGCGGAAAGCATCCAACGTTTCCGCGGCGGTGACTGTTGATGCCAGGCCATTCCAGTCAACAATTGTCCTGGGGAAGAAGGTATTTGTATACATCCTGCCAGTGGTGCGTTCTTGGTAGAAACGTATACGTGTTCTACTGTCACTGGTGTTCTTCTTGGATTGGTTACTCAGTGGTAGGTACTTGTCCTTGGGGATGTCTACTAGGTCATGTTGAATGCGATAGAGCATGCCTAACCTTGCTTCCTTCCTTCTCTGTTGGAGGGTGTTCCAATCCAGGCTCCTCAGCATTCCTGTCATACATCCGGGTGTTCTGGATTTATAGTCATTTTTGACAAAACTGGCTGCACTTTTCTGGATCTGCTCAAGTGAATCTATGTGTGTCTGAAGATGAGGATCCCAAACCGTTGCTGCATATTCAAGACCTGGGCGTACAAAAGTTGCTGCTTTCAGTTGTGGTGTACAATCCTTCATGTTTCTCCTCACAAATCCCAGTGTTCTGTTTCCTTTGGCAGCTACATTCTGTATGTGCTTGTCCCATGAGAGGTTGTTGGAGACACTTACACCAAGGTATTTGCTGTGGTCCACTGATTGCAGGACTTGGCCATGAAGTATATATTGTTCCAGTGCTTCAAGATCCTGCTGCAGCCTTGCCTTGCCTTGTCATTTGTACTCTTGATGACCCTGTACATGAGGCTGTCGTCCGCAAAGAGTCGGATGTCAGATGATGTGCAGTCAGGCATGTTATTTATGAAGGCCAGGAATAAAAGTGGACCTAGTACGGTTCCCTGGGGAACGCCAGATATAACATCATCTTGGTCAGACTTGGTGCCTTCAAGGACTACCTGTTGCTTGCGGTTACTCAGGAAGGTTTTGATCCACTGGCTTAAGGGACCTCTCACGCCATAGAAATCTAGCTTGTAGAGGAACTTTGTCGAACGCCTTCTCGAAGTCGAGTAGAATGGCGTCTACTTTGTTACCCGCTGAGAGATACTTCGCGATGGTGTCAACTGTTGTTAAAATTTGAGTTTCGCATGAGCGACGTTTCCTGAAACCATGCTGGTTGTCTCTCAGTATATGGTTGGTGTCAAAGTGTGACATTATATTACTGTGGACAATGTGTTCCAGGATCTTGCAGGTGATCGATGTAAGTGAGACGGGCCTATAGTTGGCCGGGATGTGTGTATCTCCCTTTTTGTAGATGGGTACTACATTTGCATCTCTCCAGTCCTGAGGTACTTCAGAAGAGTCTAGGGAAAACTGGAAAAGGCGGGTAAGTATTGGTGCCAGTTCAGCAGCAGCTAAATGGAGGAACCGGGTCGGAATCTCATCAGGGCCTGCAGCTTTAAATTTATGGCAGTTAAGATTTTGGAGTAATTTCCGTACTCCTGGTTCCCTAACTGTAATAGATGGCATGCTGGGATGGCTACTTGGTCCCTTGTCAGGTAAGTTCTCTGTGGGTTCTCGGGTGAAGACAGAGCTGAACTGCTGGTTCAGTATACTGGCCTTGCTCTTGCTGTCACTCCGAATGAAACCAGCAATATTCTTCAGGGGCGCTACACCAACTATTTCCTGACCCTTGCTCTTGATGTAGGAATAGAACTTCTTTTTGTTGGCTGGACTACTGTCACTGATGATGTCTTGCATATACTGCCGGCTTGCTCGTCTTGTGTGCCACTGGACTTCTTTTTGCAGTCGCTTGTAACGATCTCTGTCTCGTTTGGAGTTTGATTTCCTAGCTTTCTTAAAGGCTTTTTGTTTCCGTCGAATGCTTCTTTTGATGGTGGAATTCATCCATGGATTTGTATATTTAGAACAAGTGAGTTTAGATGGTACTCTCTTGGTTATAATTTCTGTGATGTTTGTTTTAAAATCATGCCACATCGATTCAATGTCTGTGTATGGGGTGTTCTGGAATTCGGTTGCTAGAGTACGGGTGTCTTCTTTGATGGCATTAAGGTCCGCCTTCTTCCATAGTAGTATTTTCCGTCTTGCTGGGCGTGGATGGTATGTTTGGATCGAAGTGTCGAGGAGCACAATGTCATGATCGCTGTTCCCTATCGAGGGCATAGGTTTACATCTCATCTTGAAGCTGGAGTGGGTGGTCAGGATCAGATCTAGTATCTTGTCTTTCCTGGTTGGAAAATCCACTTATTGTTCTAGGTTGGAGTCAGCTATCATATCTAGGAAGTGTTTGCTGGTGCTCTGTGGGTACTGGGATCCAGATATATCAAGAGTTTTCCAGTCTATGTCTGGTAAATTGAAGTCGCCCCCAATAATAAATATGCTGTTCTTCGATTTGGACTTCAAACTGCTAATCTCTTCTGTTGATTTTGAGAGGTATTCAGAATCAGTCCTGTTTGGTGGTCTGTAGTAGGTTGCTTTTGTGATGTTTTTGGATCCTGACTTGATGGTGCCACTAACCAGTTCTGTGTTACTGCTCTTGTAGATGTCGTGTAGCAGGAGATGTTGTTTTGCCGCTATAAGGACTCCACCATGGGGGTTTTCAGGTCTGTCTCTCCGCTGTATGTCATAGCCAAGGTCACTTGGCAGTATTTCGCTAGAGGCAACTTGACTGTCCAGCCAGGTTTCTGTGCCTAAAATAACATCTGGGTCGCAGTCTAGTATGATTGACTCAAGGAGTTTCCCTTTCTTACGTAGGCTCTGGAAGTTTATATTAAGAAGGCGTAGCATGTTTTTCTTCGCGGTGGATTTGGCTGAGGTTTGCTGAGGCTTAGGTGAGGAGGTAATTATGTTTGCACCAGAGAGGTTGAAGGTAGAGTTGCTGTGTTCAGTACTCACGCTAGATCTGGACTGCATTGATATGTCTGAAACACTGTATGAAAAAGAGGGGTTGGGTTGATCATTTACATGAACAAAATTACTATTACCAGTTTAATATATATAATATTCATCAATTTTGTTTTTGAAAAAGCTGTTTAAGGGGAGATTATTTCATGGTAATTTGGCCATTGTTTTAGTGGCAAGACAAATTTGCCGTCTGTGCTTTGGGGGTAATTTTGAATAATCAGTAGTTTTATTACGTACAGTAGTTCTTTTTTGCATTTTTTTGCCTTGAAACACATTTATATAATATTGTAATATAAATTTTAAATCATCTTGCTTAAACAAAATACATGTTTATGAAACGCTGCTTTAATTACCACTAAACAGTACAGTACCCATTCATTTGATCACAATGAACTTTTTAGATAGTGCATGTGTTAAACTTTTAATGTGGGTATATATATGTCAGATGACGTTACTTTTATTTTAAGCGATGACATTTTGGCGGGTGATTCCTGATCAAGTAAACGATTTTTAACTTATGTATAAAGAAAACCAAGCGTCCAATAACCAAGATTTCGAGAAAACTAAAAAAAAAACGAGGAAGTGTACATCATTTTTATTTTATACAGCGTGTAGATTTTGACAACACAGGTAAACATTTTCATAAAGCAGTTTAGTTAATTTCCGGTTAATTACTACAAGATTTTCTCTGATACTTTTCCTTTTAAATTCTAAAAAGATGAGAAATATGTGGTACATTGTTCGGATAAAATAATTTCGCCGGCGCGGTGACAGTGTGACTGTGTGAAGGTAAATAAAACAGTTAACACAGTTCTGCCTTATGTTTTGTATGTACATTCTTTTTATAACAAGTTATATCAAATCAATAATAATATAACTCATTTCATTTGACTAAGTTTAACTTTATAACAAATACGGTAGCTTTCTACCTAATCAAGTGTGAACGGTTTGACCCATTTTACAGACTTGTTTTTGTTTTTCTGTCAAACTTGGAAAAAACAGAATTTTTCATCACAAAATTAACCCAATGCTTTTTATTTTTACAAGTCTGACTAGTAACTTAACATGCTGAATGAGTGTGATGGATTTGCCAAAGTTTAAATTTGGAGCAGTTGATACAAATTTAAATTACATGAAATAAAACATATACATGTATACATGTTTATCACATACCCGTGCTGATTTTGGAACTCTGTAAACTGGTATTGCACGACTGTGCATAAATTTTGATGTGATGTCATTTGCCTTATAGAAACAATAGGGTAAAGACACACTAAATGTTAGCATTACACTATAGGACAATAGGTGTGTCAATGAAAAATGATTCTTTGCACTTTAAACAGTCTTTGTATCATAGTTTGGGGACCTTTCTGTAGAAAATTTGTCAGAGTTAAATCGTATACAAATACATGCACATTGCGTTAACTATAGTGCAGGTATATGTTACCCCCACTCCAGAGCATGCCCATTGATTGGTTCATTTTTGCTGGGGTTATTTATTGTGAAGACAGAGAAAGGGAAAGCAATAGAAATGTCATATTCAGATGCTTGTTCATTGGTTACTTTTTTCTGGGGTTTCATATTGTGACTTAAGGGATTGTGTTTTTATGTTTGACTATGATACCAAAGAGAAGTATGCCCTCTCTTACTAATCAGATAGCCTCGTGTTTTGATGCTTTTTCTATTACTTATTTCGGGTATGTGATAAATAGAAACATTATATTCATGTAGGTTCATTACTGGATTTATTGAAATTGTTTAATAAAATAATGTTTTGCTTGCCCGAGGCTTTTTTTTAACTTGTTCATGAATGCCTGCTAGTTATAATTAGAATTGATTGCTAAGCAGTTTCAAGTACATGTAGACTGATGTAGATGTTCAATAAATTCAGTATTGAGCCTACAGTCATCCAATATCCTTACATACACAATATAATTACAATCAAGTACAAAAAAGGACTTAGTAGAAAACTATGAGCTTTTTTAAAATAACTTTTTTACTTGAGGATAATAAATCTATATTATAGATGTTTGTACTGTATTTAATGATAGAAAAACTTATTGCCTCGCAACTAAAACCCCTGTCACACTAGGTCAGCGTTCTCACAGCGTCCAAAGAAAATTCAGAATGCCGAGATGAGTGCAGTAACATCGCCACAGCATCACTATGGCATCATAGTGGCATCACATAGAACACCAACCAATGGCGAGCATTTTAAGCATGCTCAAAACAAAAGCCTACCCTCAACGTTTTGATAGGAGTGCAGTAAGTTTGTCGTAGCAACTCAGTAGCATCTCCTACAACACAACAGGAGCGTCTTGAAAGCATAAAAGGAAGGCCGAATGAACTCGGCAGTTATCCACAACGCTTGTATGGAGATTGTGCGGCGTCTCTTCCATGCTTATACTGTGTGTGCACAGCGCTATTACGGAGCTTTACAATTTCACTGCAGTGTTAGCTCCGTAAAAGTGCAGTGGAAGCTCAAGGAATGCAGTAGAAGCGCATTTCGAATGCAGACAATCGCTAATTAAAACGTTTTGAAGCTCCTAATCATCGCTGTGATTGCAATGAGGATACCGTGAAGTCTCCATGTTATCAAAAATATCTCATTTTTTTATTGCTATCCCATGGTGCTTTGTTAGTTAAAGCACAGTCTAGTGTGAGGCTGAGGGCCTCAAGTTAACAGTCACTACATGTAGTTATAAGTACAAAGAATTTTACTTGTAAATATTTTTTGTTGATTTGTTATTCTTAATAGAAGTTGGAACACGACACTCATTGTGGCAAAATCTGTTATATTGTGTTTTATACAAGGAAAATATGTGTGAAATAGTATATTTAAATGAGATGATTTATTTCCCTCATGGAAAAAATTACCATCCTTGATTTTATGTCTTTTGGTGAAATTGTACCTTCTGATTAATTTCATTTTGATCTCTGTTTAGTTTTCTGTTAAAGCTGCATGCATCCAGATAAGTCAAAATATTTCATGAAAATCAAACTTCAGAAAAAAAAAAGTACTAAGGATTTAAGAAAAGTACTCAAGAATAATTAACATGCTATTTATTGTGTGATTAATGACTGACTTTGCAGTATTTATCACCATATTTTTACTGTTTGGCTAATGCAGTTAGGGATATTTTTGCATATTTTGACTGCTTTTTGGTATTTAGTGACAGAGATTAAAAGTGCTGTTTGTTATGTATAAATGACTTTCTTTGTTCCCTTCACAATATTTTACTTTTAAACACATTTTCAAAATATCCATGAAAATTAGCATGAATTTGGATGCATTATTCTTGAAATGATTTACAGTTTCTTTGAAGAAAAATAATTAATTCTTACCCAGGAGGAACAATTTAATGTGTTAAGTATTTGCCACCAGTAAAGAGCTAGGGCAGCGTACTTATTGGTCAGTTATTCTCAAGGCCATTATGTCCTAATCCCCCCACCTCCAATGGTATACCAGGACCAGGGGAGATAAGTGAAATTGTTACATTTAGTCTGTACCAGCATTGACAGATCTATGTGGTGGTTTCGATTTGGTGCCAAAATAGATGGGGATGGGGGGAGCTATGTCCAACTCTTGAGTGTGGGTGCAATTATTGACAATTAAGGGGTATATTACCTGACTATCCCTGAAGGCAGGGCCTTTACCAGGGGTTTGATATTACAAAAGTGCCACTGTTCCCCAGTGATGGAACCTTTAATGTTATACAAATATATTGACTTGTGCATGTATTACAATAATTACGGAGGAGGAAAGATATTGACACATCTTTTTCATAAAATCTTGTAAGCATTTTGCAGTCTTATAATACATACATGTATGTATATAATACAGGTATTTCAGGTGTTCAGCCATTAGATACTGATCATGGCTCTGTTTGAAGGATGCCAGATTGTTTTAGATCTGACCACAGCAGTCAGGTTTAAGGAGAAGACTCAGATGAGGAAAGACATTACATCCAATGGAGGAATTGTGTCTTTCATTGTCACTAAGAAGGTAAAAAATTACATCTATATACTAGGTAAACCATATTATATTCTGGTACAAAACCAAGTGTCTGACTAAATGACATAAGTAGTTACATGTACCTTTGTGATACATTTTAGCAGGAAAGGCTATACTACATGTACCATAATTATACCCCAAATGAAAATGGGTCATTTTCATAAACAAATTGAAAAAAAAATAATAAGGTAACATAGAATGTTTTGTTTAACTGAAAAGAAAAAAAAAATGTTTTATTTTGTGTGATTTTGTAAGAAATATTACAATTTACTATTTTCAGGGGCACTAAATAGTAAATACCCAAATATACCCAATTACACCCAAATATACCCAAATATAGCAATATTCATTTTTGTTTGTATAAAATACAGATTATAATTTGAAAATGAATCAATATTAATAAAAATAATATTACTTAGTCAGCTATAACTTTCATTCATTCCGTTAAAATGGGCAGTTTAAATGTTGTAAGAAAATAAACTTGTGACATTTGCTTATCTAGGTTCATTACTGAATATACTTGCAAATTAAAATAAAGATATGATAATATTTGTTGTCTACATTTAATTTTTAGCTCACCTGAGCATGCTCAGGGTGAGCTTTTAGGATCGATGATTGTCCGTCGTCCGTCCGTCCGTCGTCCGTTCACATTTTGTTGTTAACACTCTAGCTGTCGCATTTTTGCCTCAATCATCATCAAACTTGGTCAGGATGCTTATCTAGTTGATAGCTCAGATGAGTTCGAACATGGGTCATCTCGGATGAAAAACTAGGTCACAAGAGCTAAAAATAGAAAAACCTTGTTAACACTCTAGAGGTCTGGTCACATTTTTGCCTCAATCATCATCAAACTTGGTCAGGATGTTTGTCTAGGTGATAGCTCGGATGAGTTCGAACATGGGTCATCTCGGATGAAAAAGTAGGTCACCGGAACTACAAATAGAAAAACCTTGTTAACACTCTAGCGGTCACATTTTTGTCTCAATCATCATCAAACTTGGTCAGGATGCTTGTCTAGGTTACAGATAGCTCGGATGAGTTCGAACATGGGTCATCTCAGATGAAAAACTAGGTCACCGGAGCTAAAAATAGAAAAACCTTGTTAACACTCCAGCGGTCACATTTTTGCCTCAATCATCATCAAACTTGGTCAGGATGCTTGTCTAGGTTACAGATAGCTCGGATGAGTTCGAACATGGGTCATCTCGGATGAAAAAGTAGGTCACTGGAGCTAAAAATAGAAAAACCTTGTTAACACTCTAGCAGTCACATTTTTGCATCAATCATCATCAAACTTGGTCAAGATGCTTGTCTAGGTGATAGCTTGGATGAAGTTGAACATGAGTAATCCTGGATGAAAACCTAGGTCACCGGAGCTAAAAATATAAAAACCTTGTTAACACTCCAGCAGTCACATTTTTGCCTCAATCATCATCAAACTTGGTCAGGATGCTTATCTAGTTGATAGCTCGGATGAGTTCGAACATGGGTCATCTCGGATGAAAAACTAGGTCACAAGAGCTAAAAATAGAAAAACCTTGTTAACACTCTAGAGTAGGTCACAATTTTGCCTCAATCATCATCAAACTTGGTAAGGATGTTTGTCTAGGTGATAGCTTGGATGAGTTGGAACATGGGTCATCTCGGATGAAAAACTAGGTCACAGGAGCTAAAAATAGAAAACTCTTGTTAACACTCTAGTGGCTCTTGTTTTGATCCAAATATCCTGTAAATTGGTCTGAAAGTTTGTTTTGATGATTTCTAAGTCAAGTTCGAACATGGGTCATCTTGGATGAAAAACTAGGTCACACCGCCCAAATATGGAAAAACCTTGTTAACATTCTAGTGGTCACATTTTCGACTCAATTATCATCAAACTTGGTCAGGATGCTTGTCTAGGTAATTGCTCGGATGAGTTCGAAATCGCATGTGAAACTAGGTCACTGGAGCTAAAAATAGAAAAATCTTGTTAACACTCTAGTTGCTACTGTTTTGATCCAAATATCCTGGAAATTGGTCTGAAAGTTTGTTTTGATGATTTCTAGGTCAAGTTTGAATATGGGTCACCTGGGTAAAAAACTAGGTCACACTGCTCAAATATGGTTAATCCTTGTTAACACTGTAGTGGTCACATTTTTCACTCATCTGTCATGAGACTTGGTCAGAATGCTTGTCTAGGTAATTGTTTGGATGAGTTTGATGGGTCAGGTGAGCGATCTAGGGCCATCATGGCCCTCTTGTTTAGAGTATTATTAAAATTTTGTTGAAATTTCATACAAGTGTCCATCACATTATTTTTTTTTTGAAAATTTAATATAGCTTTAATGAAGTGTACTGTACTGTATTTGGGTATATTTTGGTTCAAAACACAATGATAGGAAAATGTATATTTGGGTATGTTTGTCTTTGTTTGATCAATCTCAGTGAAAGTGTATATTGTAATTCATAATTAAAACAGCACTTTTTTTTGTATAAAACATTCATTTTTGGTATATTTGAGCAATATTTGGGTATATTTGGGCAATATTGGCAATATTTAGGTGTATTTGGGTATATTTGGGTATTTCATGCTGCCAACTATTTCTATGTGTCAAAAATTATTACAGCCACTACTCTATATATAGAGGATATTTGTTTGTTTCAGTGTAAGATCGAAAAATATTTCACCGAGTGAACACCAGATGCAATATTTTCCACGAGTGGCGTAGCCACGAGTGAAAATATAATAGCTGGGGTTCACTAGTGAAATATTATTTGATCTTACATGTAAAACAAACAAATTTTCTGTTTATTTCATGATTTTTTAACGATTTTTACACCATTTTACTGATTTTTGCCGCGTAACGTCATGCTCTTATCTTCATGACGTCATGAAATAATGACGTCACAATGTTGAAGCAAAATATAATTCCATGATTATTTTTAGATTTTAGATGTTTTTCAGCACAACGTTCGTAAATATTTACAAACTACAGTTATCACGTACATTTTTTATTATGATTGACTACAATTCCGCTGAAAAAAACATTCATTAATGATAAATATTTTATTTTTACGCCAAATATAGTTCGGCTACTGTGAAATTATATTTGGTAATCATTACTGTGAAATTATCAGAATATAATTAACCGTTATAATTCAGTAATCTACTGCAAAACATGTAATAAAATGTCATAACTCAGAAGTTTTAGGCATTGTAAAACAGTATGACTGTCACATACAAGATACAGATCCATAGCTCCATACTAAGTTTAAGGTCACATTTAGAGGTCAAAAGTATCTAGTAAATGGTATCTATAACTTGTGTCAACTCATTATTTTTGTTATTTCTTTATATATTGTGAGATTCTGTAGGAAAAAAAGACAGCATGTAAATTGTTTTATCAAAACCTGTTTAAGCTTGACATCATTAAATTTTAGAGCCTGTAAATTTACTTAATAGTTAATGCCTTGACAAATTGCTCTTTTTTTTATTTATTTTATGTAGAGTACACATGTTGTATGCAATGATGCAGAAAAAGCAGAGTTCTCATATAAATGCAAAACGGCTGCCAAGTATGGTATTCCGGTTGTTTCGGTTCCCTGGATAAATAAGAGCATTGAAGCCGGTCACCTGCTGAACACAGATGACTTCCTGGTCATGGGAATATCAAAATCTGAGGCTCTTAAGGAAGGAAAAATATCAGGTAACTTTTATCTTAAGCAAGTTATACTATTAAACTTTTGACAGAATAAAAATTTTGTGCATCAGTTGTTTTTTTTTGACATGCTATCATGCTATTATATTCTTGATTGTTGAGAATTTTCTTCCTACTGAAAAAATGTCATACTTTAAAACTTTGGAGTTTATGCTTGAGCTCAGACATGATGTTGTACTGGAGAACTGACATGATGTTGTACTGGAGAACTGACATGATGTTGTACTGGAGAACTGACATGATGTTATACTGGAGATCTGACATGATATTATACTGGAGGTAAGACATGATGTTATACTGGAGGTCTGACATGATGTTATACTGGAGGTCTGACATGATGTTATACTGGAGGTCTGACATGATGTTATACTGGAGGTCTGATATGATGTTATACTGGAGATCTGAGATGATGTTATACTGGAGTTCTGACATGATGTTATACTGGAGGTCTGACGTGACATTATACTGGAGTTCTGACATGATGTTAGACTGGAGGTAAGACATGATGTTATACTGGAGGTCTGAGATGATGTTATACTGGAGATCTGACATCTTTTATACTGGAGTTCTGACATGATGTTATACTGGAGGTCTGACATGATATTATATTGGGATTCTGATATGATGTTATACTGGAGTTCTGATATGATGTTATACTGGAAGTCTGACATGATGTTATACTGGAGGTCTGACATGATGTTATACTGGAGGTCTGACATGATGTTATACTGGAGTTCTGACATGATGTTATACTGAAGGTCTGACATGATGTTATACGGAGATCTGACATGATGTTATACGGGAGATCTGACATGATGTTATACGGGAGGTCTGACATGATGTTATACGAGAGGTCTGACATGATGTTACATTAGAGGTCTGACATGATGTTATACTGGAGGTCTGACATGATGTTATACTGGAGGTCTGACATGATGTTATACTGGAGGTCTGACATGATGTTATACTGGAGTTCTGACATGATGTTATACGGGAGGTCTGACATGATGTTATACGGGAGGTCTGACATGATGTTATACTGGAGGTCTGACATGATGTTATACGAGAGGTCTGACATGATGTTACATTAGAGGTCTGACATGATGTTACATTAGAGGTCTGACATGATGTTATACTGGAGATCTGACATGATGTTATACTGGAAGTCTGACATGATGTTATACTGGAGGTCTGACATGATGTTATACTGGAGGTCTGACATGATGTTATACTGGAGTTCTGACATGATGTTATACTGAAGGTCTGACATGATGTTATACGGGAGATCTGACATGATGTTATACGGGAGATCTGACATGATGTTATACGGGAGGTCTGACATGATGTTATACGAGAGGTCTGACATGATGTTACATTAGAGGTCTGACAATGATGTTATACGGGAGGTCTGACATGATGTTATACGGAGGTCTGACATGATGTTATACGAGAGGTCTGACATGATGTTACATTAGAGGTCTGACATGATGTTACATTAGAGGTCTGACATGATGTTATACTGGAGGTCTGACATGATGTTATACTGAAGGTCTGACATGATGTTACACTGGAGTTCTGACATGATGTGATACTGGAGGTCTGACATGATGTTATACGAGAGGTCTGACATGATGTTTATACGGGAGGTCTGACATGATGTTACATTAGAGGTCTGACATGATGTTATACTGGAGAACTGACATGATGTTAGATAGGAGATCTAACATAATGTCATACTGGAGAACTGACATGATGTTAGACAGGAGATCTGACATGATGTTATACTGAAGGTCAGATATGATGTTAGACAGGAGATCTGACATAATGTTTTACTGGAGGTCTGACATAATGTTATACTGGAGGTCTGACATAATGTTGTTCTGGAGGTCAGACATGATGTTGTTCTGGAGATCTGACATGATGTTGTACTGGAGAACTGACATGATGTTGTACTGGAGAACTGACATGATGTTGTACTGGAGAACTGACATGATGTTATACTGGAGGTCTGACATAATTAGACATAATGTTGTTCTGGAGATCTGACATGATGTTGTACTAGAGAACTGACATGATGTTGCACTGGAGAACTGACATGATGTTATACTTGAGGTCTGACATAATGTTATACTGGAGGTCTGACATAATTAGACATAATGTTGTTCTGGAGATCTGACATGATGTTGTACTGGAGAACTGACATGATGTTGTACTGGAGATCTGACAAGAGAAAACTGACACAAATAAGTACAATGGGCTTGTAGCGACAAGTTATTGGCAACAAGTTATTTAAAAAAAAATGCTATTTGTAGCTCAGTTTTAACATCTTGATATTGAAAAGCTGTAAACTTTAAATTGACGGTTTCAGTTTCAAAGTAGGACAAAACCATTTAGTAAGTTAAGGGCCTAGAGATAAATGTCTTTTGGAATCACAGTAATCTGTTTATATAATCAGTAGCTCTGGTTTCATTAAAAAAATGAATATTTATCTTATTATAACAACCATTGTTTAAAACTTTCTTTCAGCCTCAAAATTTCAAAAGAAGGACAAAAAGAAAACAGTCAAACCATTTATTAATGTTGGCAGCATTAAAGTGTGGAAACCAGATGACAAAAATTGCCCATCTTTCACAAGGGAATTCCAAATTGCCAAGTTTGCACTCTTCAAAGGAGAGGTAAAAAGATATTACTTTTTCTTATTTTCAATAAAAAGAGCTTTTTTGAAACCTCTACCTGCTGGAACCTAAACAGACTACCCTTTGCCACTATCAGTGTAGAGCCAGGTCAGCCTGCACATTTGTACACTCTGATCAGGCTCTATACTGTTGGTAGCTCATGCTTGTGTTTTTATATTGAAATCCCTTAAATTATAAATGGACTGTTCCATTTTCAAAGCTGGCCTAATCCATTATGTATATACAGCAGGTGCAGGGTTAATTAGTGTCATGTTTAAATTAAAGTGTTGAATGAATAGTTTTCCTGAAAAATTGGAACTTTTTTGTCTTTTCTGTGTCATGTACATCTATAATATGATAATTAAGTCTGAATAGTAAAGGATACGGTCACTGTATTAAATATACATGTACAGTGTACTTGCTGTTCACCGTTGTGGGCTAGAATAGTTCGTCATAGAGGGCAAGACTGGTTTTAGGTCAAATGCTGTCTAATGTGTCTGAAATAATGTACTATAGACGGAAATCAACATTAATTTCCTTCACCAAAAGTGGAAAATCATTACAATATTAGCCTTACAGAGCTGTTATGACTGAAACTTACAAAAAAATTGAATATTGTTGTTCCCAAGAAAGAGAATAGATTTTAAGAAACTTATTTATTCATAGCCATATTGTGTATGAATATACTGTTTAAAAGCAGAACAACTTAAGATTTAAGTTAAATCTATATTGTGAACATATAGTTGTATATCTACAAATATCTTCAAATATAATTATATTGTGTAAGAATGTTATTTTATGCTTGATGATTTGAAGATTTATTCCCTTCTCTAGAAGTGTTCTGGTATATGATTATTTTTTGTTTCCCTCAGAAAAAAGAAAAGAAGGTACAGAAGACATTTACTGTACTGGAAGTGCATGTTGATGAACATTTCAGGACAGGTAACTCTGATACAAACCATAAATACAGAGTTGCCTCCCATACAGGAATGTTGAAGACTGTGGAAGTAAGTGCTGGTTTGCCAAATTATTATGATATGTCATAATCAATTATCTTTTCTAGTACGAATGAAATAACTTTATGCATGTATGAAAGAATTAACTTATATGTAAAAGTAAACAGTTTTATACCCAATTTTTTTTCAAAATCATTGTCACAGATTTCTAATAACTTAAGATGTCACAGTGTTTCACCGATAACTTTTGTCCTGATTATGTAAGTGAGACTTAAGCTACATTTAATTTTATTAATAAGAAAGTGTGTGGTTTACTACACCTTTTGAAGTATGGCTTTGAAAGTCAATATACTAATAAATGCCATCTTCATCTCAACTTCCACTGCCCAACTAGCTCAATATATAGAGCATTTTACTGCAAATCAGACGACCCTGTTTGATTTGGGGACAGAAATGGTCACTTCAGTTGTGGTTTATCATGAAATCCTTTCTACTGTCATTTGCTCTGTACCTCTGCTCTGACATCTTTCAAAATAATAAGTAGTTTCTTGTGAAAGTGGAGTGCACCATCCTATAAACTTCCATACTAAAGGATATTGCCCTGTTATTGCAGCATGCTGTATGATGTAACAGTTGTTCTATTTTTTATCTACAGAAAGGTGGACCAGGTACTACAGAATATAGATACTGTAATACAGTTGATGAGACACTGGCTGTATATAGCAATCTATACAGACAACAACAACAACAACTGGGTATGACCTTGACCCATGACCTTTTCTCGAGACATATTGGATCCGAAAAATTTAAACAGGTATGTCTGGTAACAGTATATGACTATATATTATTTCCTGATAATATCATTGGGAAAATTGTAAGATAACTTAATATCAAAGTAAAAAATTACAACAAACTCTTGCACAAATAAAAAAACATTTGTTATTTAATTTTCAATGATATATAATTATGTTTTCTAACAATATATATCAAATTAAGTAGTAATTTATGTACATTAAGAAACATTTTAGAATTATTGGAGCAGATATTGTAACACTTACGTAGATTAGGTCTATAAAAAGATTAACTTAAGACTCTAACCAATAATTGAGTCTTAAATTTATACACTAACCAATAATGATGGGCATATGTGCTTGAGTGAATAAGGTCCTTGACTTCTTACTGCTAGCCCATCCCGGCTTGGGTTCAAATCCCACCAGTGACTTTGGATTAAGCTATTCAGCTAGCTTAGGGAACGTTGGTGGTTCTACTCCAATGCCTGTTTGTTCATGCATGGAGGGGCACCTGCAGTCTTCTTTAACCAGTTAGCACTAGGAAAGTTGCCATATGACCTTTACAGTGTAGGTCCAATATAAAAACTGTACCCCAAAAAAAAGGAACTATAATGGAAAGCACTTCACTGTTAGATAGATTATGAAGTAAAAAGGAGAATGTCACCTATAATCTTATAGATTTTGGCACATTTTAGCTTGAAATTATTTGTTTTGAAAAAAAACAACTGATGTAAGCAAGAGGTTAACATCAAGAATTAATCTCTTTCAATGGTTATATTATGTGCTAATACTTGTTGAATTTACTATTGACTGGTAAAAAGTATTTTTCTATTAATACATATAAATGTAACTAGATGATGGTAGAGCTTGGATTAGAGAGTGGTAGTATGACAGAAGAGGTTGGTTGTCTGGTAGAACATATCTGGCTAGAGGCCAATGAAGAAGTGGAAAATGTCCTGTCCTGTGATGTCACAAGTATCAAAGAAGAACAGGTACTTAATATTTACATTGATTTAAATTTTTTTAGCTCCTCCTGAGCACAAAGAGCATACATGTACTTCAAGGTGAATTCTTGTAAAAACTGATATTCATAGTCTGTGTTTTGCATTTAGCATATTGTGTTGTCATCCTCAATTTCTTTAAACACATTTCCTTATCACATGGTAGATTTTTACTAAACTGCAGGAATGATCCTGAAGGGACAGTCCATGAAAATCATATATTAAATGATTTCAGTTTGATAAATATGTAGGTCACAGTACCTGAAAATAGACTTTAAAACTGAAGTCTTTAAAGATCTTCAATTCAGAAACTACATTGCCATAAGCTTTGATACTCGCATGTAGCAATACCTTATGGTTTTATACAAAAGTAATATTAACCATGACTACAGGGTCAAATTTGTCCGCCCTTGGGGTCATTTAGCTTACATAGACTATAAATATTTGTGTATGAACTACACAGCTTTGTGATTAGATATTTGGCATTTAGCATTGTGTTAGTACAGACTTCTACAAAAGTCATTTTATTCATGGTCCTGGGGCCCATCATGTAATATAATAGATTTACGTTGAAGACCAAAAAAAGCATATTTTGAGATAAGTGCATTCAAAGATAAATTGTAGAATTAAACGAAAGTCATGAGGTAATTCTTCGGTAAATTTTCAGGTTGAAAAAGCAGAAGCCATTTTGAAACAGATCAAGTCAGCCCTAGATACGAATGATGATAGTAAAATACCCAAACTGATGTCGGATTTCCATTCTACACTACCTCATGATAAGCTGCATCAAGCAGTGACACCAACTAAATACTGGTTGTCAAGGAAACTGGACCTCTGCCAGGTAAGTTTTCTACTAAAATTTCCATGAAAAAAAAAAAATAAAATAGATTTTTTTTTTACGATTATACCTTTACCTTTTTTAGAATGAGATAAAATTAACAAAAAAAAAAAAAAAATCACAACATGCTAATTAAATCTTACAACTTCAATAATTATGTAAAAAAATTACTTGCACAACCTGATTTTAGGGTGCTTTCTTAGTGCAAACATGACTATTTGAAGACTACTCGAAGTAAAGGAAGAGTTATTTTTCTCAGTCTAGTATCGGCATCGCCATCACACTTTAGTCAAGTTTTTGGGTGCAAGTTGGTATCTCCAAAATTACTAAAGGAAATGGGTTGAAACTTCACTCACTTGTTCTTTGTGATTATCTTGCTTGATGGACACAGGTTCTTTAGTTCTTAGGTATCTTTTTATCAGAGTTATGCCCCTTTTCTTACTGTCAAGCACTGAGAATAGTCAATTTGGCTGTCTTACGGACAGTTCTTATTCATATTGATTCTTGAAAACATGAACTTATTAATAGTCAGAAGTAAGACAAACTTATTTGTTTTTGCAGTTGGTAAGAGATATGATATCTGTTAGTGAGGCCACAAACTTTGCCATGAGAACTAGCACAGTAGCTAAATATAGGTCTCTAAGATGTGGGATAGATTGTTTGAGCCCTTCTAGTACAGAATACCACACAGTTAAACAGCTGGTCAGCGATTCAATAGTTGGGTAAGCCTATTAAATTTGAATGATTCCCCAACATAAAAAAAACAACTTTTCTTTAAAATGCACAATATGTTTCAGAAATCCATATCTTTTTTAATTCTTTTTATAAATGTCATACTGTGGTTCATGAGTTTAATAACATTTTAATAATGGATTAAGGGCATGTTAGATGTTTAACAACTGAACAAAGTAGCGCTGAATGTGCAGTATATGTGTCGTAAAGGTAGCAAAATGTAAACAAAGCAGTATTTTGACTTGCATACAAATTACTAACTCATTATATTTATATCCATTGCCAATAGAGCTAAAGGAGAAAAAGACAGTTCATGTATATGATAAATTAGTATTAATTTGGAACCTGATACCAAAAAAAAAAAAAAAAAAAAAAGAGAAAAAAAATGATAGCATTTCTTTGGCATAATGCACCTTTAAGCAACTTTTCTCCATTTCATGTTAATTTCTAGTAAAAACATATGTATTGTAATTGATATAATATTACATAATGGTTTTAATGAAGTCAGAGGCACTTTTATTCCATGGAAAAGATATGCTCATTGATATCAACAAGGTAGGATTGTTATGATAAGAATTTTATGCATACAACATTATCAGATGTGACATCATGTCACATGGATTTTGAATATTCACACATTTCTTTATTTATCTGTTACTCACCAGAGATGAGCATATTATACAGCCAAGGAAAGCATGACACCAAACGTTAAGTCACTTGCTCTTCATCTCTGTTGGTTCGAATCCCATCAGGGATTTGGATGTTTTAAGTGAGGAAAATACTTAGCTAGCTTGTTCTTCTCAGGTACCCACTGGTGTGTCAGATAATGGGCAAAGGAATACCAAAGGTCTTTTTATGCCCCCACAATGTGGGAGCATATAGCGTTGCACTTGTCCGTCCGTCCGTCAGTCCGTCCGCACTCACAGGACAGTAATTATGTGGCTAGAGGGACAATAGGTAACTGTTCTTTCTCTTTGATGTCATTCATTCCGTAATGCTTTTATGTGGCTATTTTCTTTTGTGTGGCTAAAAAGAACAATAGAGAGAACAATAGAGTAGCCACATAATTACTGTCCTGTGAGAACTTCCGTCCGTACGTCCCGAAATCTTGTGAACGCAACTCCTCTTAAACCGGATGGCAGATTTTGCTTAAACAACATTAATGTGTATATGGTAGTAAAGGAAGGAATTTTTGCTGCGACCAAATTTAACAGAATTATGGCCCTTTGTTGATTTTTTCACTATATACTATGTAGAAATTTTGTGAACGCAACTCCTCTTAAACCGGATGGCAGATTTTGCTTAAACTTACAGGGATGAACAACCTTAATGTGTAGATGGTAGTAAAGGAAGGAATTTTTGCTGCGACCAAATTTAACAGAATTATGGCACTTTGTTGATTTTTTCACTATATACTATGTAGAAATTTTGTGAACGCAACTCCTCTTAAACCGGATGGCAGATTTTGCTTAAACTTACAGGGATGAACAACCTTAAGGTGTAGATGTTAGTAAAGGAAGGAATTTTTGCTGCGACCAAATTTAACAGAATTATGGCCCTTTGTTGATTTTTTCACTAAATACTATGTAGAAATTTTGTGAATGCAACTCCTCTTAAACCGGATGGCAGATTTTGCTTAAACTTCCAGGGATGAACAACCTTAATGTGTAGATGGTAGTAAAGGAAGGAATTTTTGCTGCGACCAAATTTAACAGAATTATGGCCCTTTGTTGATTTTTTCACTATATACTATGTAGAAATTTTGTGAATGCAACTCCTCTTAAACCGGATGGCAGATAATGCTTAAACTGGCAGGGATGAACAACCTTAATGTGTAGATGGTAGTAAAGGAAGGAATTTTTGCTGCGACCAAATTTAACAGAATTATGGCCCTTTGTTGATTTTTAGTTTTTCAACTTGTGGCACATGTAGTCCAAAAAATATTTGACCTAGAGTCATAAGATTGACAGAACAGTGGCGTGTGGGGGCATCCGTGTCCTATGGACACATTTCTAGTTCCATCAGTAAAGCTAGAAAGTTGCCATATGATAATACAGTGTTGGTGTGACATACAAACAAAAATTAATTGAATGATAAAAGAGTTGATGATCTTGAATAAAATGAGTGACAAAAACATGACTAAATATTACTGTGCCATTTATATACATGTATATATATATTACAGAGATTGTCAGATCAATATTGTTGACATCTTTGCTGTAAATCGCCCGGTGGAGAGCAGCAACTTCCTGTGGCATATCTCCAATAAACAACTTCTCTTCCACGCATCTAAAGCTAACAATATAGTTGGAATCTTATCCAGGTAATTACACAGATTGGTGAGCTATTTAAACTTTTTTATGGTAGATAATTATATAAAACATTACTGCGTGTTTGCAGTTAGACAATCAAACATGTATGTTACCTATATATACAGCTAATGCAAATTTGAGATTCTATTTCTACTTTTATCAAAGAAGGCAATAAATTTCCATATTATAAATTCTAAAGACTTGAATTGTTATTATATGGACATGTATAAACGGTTGTTTGCATTATAACCGTTATCAAGTGGCTTGTGTTAATAGGAGCTTACAGTCAGTTTTACTGGGCTATAGGAGAGGATCAGTGGTCAAGTGGTTATACAGGTTCATTCCTTAACTACTCCACTAACAGTTCAAAATTTTAATGGTCTTTCATCTAAAAATAGCAAGGTCTCATGTATCTGTACTCTACACTTGGCATGTAAAATAAATAGCTTATGGAACAGGTCAAATACTGCATCATTCATACAGTCCGCTAGAAATAAGAAAATATGCAGCATTGCAGATTGGGCAGCTGCACACAACAGTTAGTAAAGTGAAGCAAAAAAAGAAAAATATTGGGCCATTTTACCTATATAATCTTGACCACAAATATACAAGCTGTAAGAATATTTTTCTTTATTCTTCCTCAGGTTTCAAAGATTATTGCATCAGATTTAATGGCACATAATGCCTCAGAAACAAATAAAAAATTCTTTAAAAAGTTTGAGCATGTGCTTTATAAAGTCTAAATAATGTCTTTAGACCATGTTAGATGCTAAACACCAAAAGAGAGTAGTACTGAATGTGAAATTATGTTCATAAAAGTAGAAAAATGTAAACAAAGCAGTAATTTGACTTCCATACAAAATACTAAATCACTATGACACTGTACTTGCCAAAAAAAAAAATGAACCAAAAGATGGTTCAGATTAGTATCCAGTGAGTAAATTTTCAGAAACTATAATTATCAGGTCACTAGAAATATAAAGCTTCTGAGAAAAAAAGATTGAAGAATGTATTGGGCATAATGGACAGGGATAGGAATAGTCTATTGTACGGGCATCTTGCTTAAATTATAAAGAACCTTTTTGCATTGTTTATTATGAATTCTAAGTAATTAAGTTATATTTCAGAGGGTTGTTAATGCCGAGGGTTGTAGTGGAGGATCATGGAGGTACAAGGTCTGATCCTGGCATGTTGGGATCTGGTATTTACTTTGCAAGTGCTGCAAGGTAATGCTTTTGTAATTTTTGGTTTCAAATTGATATTTTAGATGATATTTTTCACATTTTGCTGTAAATTTATGTTTGAGTTTTTGCTAAATATTTTAATAAATTGTTATTTTTAATGGCTATTTTTTGTGTATATTAACAAAAATAATGTCTGGTCCAGAACTTTGTTGCTTTTTGCTGAATTTTAACTGTATGGAAGAATTGTATTCCATCCTTAGACAATATGGCATGCTCAAGTTCCTCTTATATAGCAAGAGTATGCATAAATAGAGGATATTGAATGAGTGTATGTTTAATAACGAATTTATTGAACAAGTTGAATAAAATTATTTTATGTGAGCCCCTGGAAAGCATAATAATATTTTCAACCAGTTCAATATATTCAGGTATGAACTTACACAAATTTAATTATCACATACTGAAAATATATAGACCATTTGAAGCGAAAAAGTGCCAATTTTCATTGACACGCCTATAGTATAATGCTAATATTTAGCATGTCTTAATGCTCTGTTTATATAACACAAATGACGTCACTTCAAAATATAATCACGGCTGTGCAATACCATGTTTACAAAGTTGTAAAAATGGCACTGGTATGTGATAAACTAAATTTTGAATGTAGGTCATTATTACATTATACTTGTATTTTATTTCTAAGGAAAAGCATTAAACCTTTACAAAGGTCCATTTCTTTCTTCTTTTCACAATAATTTTTTTGAAATGGTAGATTTGATTTTCTTTCTGCAATTTTTAGTACAAGTGTTGGTTATTCTCTGGCAAGTAAAACAAAAGGGTCAAGGTTTATGCTGGTCAGTGAGGTTGCCTTGGGCAGGTGTATGGATACGTATCAGAAAGATTTGACCTTGACCTCTGCTCCAGAAGGTTATAACAGTGTACATGGTGTGAAATCTTCTCCAGGAGAACAATCTGCATTTAAGGTACTATAATATATGATGTGTTTAGTTATCTAGGCTGTTGCACATCAATTTAATTTTTAGCTGTCTTTGATTTGAATCTGGAAATGTTCACTTACAGTTTAAGGGATTTTAATTTGAAAATATTATAGAAACCAATAGTGACCTTATGATGGCTGGACAAGCTCATTTTTAGAAATTCAATAGTTTTAGGGTTAATAGTTACCCTTGAAGCTGGAGTGTCAGTCAATTTAATATTTTTGCATTCGTCTCAGTGAGATATTATCCATATCTAACCAAATACTTGTTTAATAATCATTCCACTGACATATATAATTCATATCTAATCAAAAACTTGTTTTATAACAGGATTCTGATATTCCTCCAAGTGAGATATAATTCATATCTAATCAAAACTTGTTTTATAACAGGATTCTGTAATTTCTCTAAGTGAGATATAATTCATATCTAATCAAATCAAACACTCGTTTTATTACAGGATTTTGATATTCTTCCTAGTGAGATATTAGTGATATCTAATCAAAAACTAATTTTATTACAGGATGATGAGTATGTGATATACAGCCCGAATCAACAAAGACTGAAATATCTAGTAGAGTTTACTACAAAAACTGATGAAGTGAAGAGGACTTTTGAAGAGCTTGTAACCCTGGATGAAATGATGATATCTGATGATGAAGATTCTGATGTTATAAGTATGTATATCATGAATAATTGTGAATTTGGTGCATGTATAATACAAATAAAAAGCAATGGGAATGGTTTTCCTTCAATGTATCTAAATATTCAAGGTTATATTGAAACATTCTGTTTGTTTCCACAGGAAAATATTTGAATGTTTTAAATTACAGAAACTGTGCAATTGTTGAATTCTACACCAGCATCTTGTTACCTTCCTCCTGAAATTTAAGTTATAAATGTTATAAACTCATGAAAAAATAACCATGAAATATCAGACTGTAACCTGCATTCTGTGTAAGATTCAGTTCTTTAAGGCCAGTGTAGTATTTCTCATTACATTTGTATGATATGTTTTGCTGTTTTTCACATCAGGAACCTTATAAGATTTAAATAATACTGAGGGCATACTAGAACAGGTGCAGAGTCAAAGGTCAAGGCTAGTCTCATCTCCGAGGCAGATTCAGATGTTAACCTTTTATAATTATGTGCATGTGTTTATTTATTGCAAAAATAACATTTTGTCATTGTCTTATTAGGTTTGAAAGATGTCAAGGACATTACAGACCCTATGTCAAAGGTCAAGGCCGGTCTTGTCTCCAAGGACGATGCACCGGTTAACCTTAAATCTGTACATGTTCGTGCTAAACTGATGGATTTGGCATCTGAGGTAAATTATGTACATCTCTACTGAGATGTCAGGGCAGAGAGAATTTTTGTGTGTTCAGGGTGGTTTTAGATAAAATACATGTAATTAATTGTAGGGTGGTTGTTAGTTAAACTGCCAATATATCCTCATTAATGATTTGAAACAACTTTTAAGAATGAATTTATTAGATTCAATGTGATAACTATATTTTCTTGAAAAAAAACATGTTTTAGTCATAAGACACTTATTAATAAGTTCAAAATTGATGTAGCTATGAAGACTTAAATGATATGCTCCTTTTTTCATTGTAAATTTGGGCTGACAGTTGATGTTGGAAATATTTATACCCCCGCACAACAAAGTTGTAAGGGGGTATACTGGAATCAGCTTGTCTGTCCGACCGTCCAGCTGTCTGGCCGTATGGCGTCCGTCGTTTTTTTCTTGTCCGCCCAATAACTTAAGAATCCTTTGACCCACAGTCTTCATATTTGGCATGGAAGTTAGTCATAATCAGTAGATGACCCCTATTGATTTTGAGGTCACTGGGTCAAAGGTCAAGGTCACAGGGGCCTTGACTTCAAAAAGCTTGTCCGCCCAAAAACTTAAGGTTCCTTTGACCCACAGTCTTCATATTTGGCATGGAGGTTAGTCGTGATTAGTAGATGACCCCTATTGATTTTGAGGTCACCAGGTCAAAGGTCAAGGTCACAGGGGCCTTGACTTCAAAAAGCTTGTCCGCCCAAAAACTTAAGGTTCCTATGACCCACAGTCTTCATATTTGGCATGGAGGTTAGTCATGATTAGTAAATGATCCGTATTGATTTTGAGGTCACTGGGTCAAAGGTCAAGGTCACAGGGACCTTGTCAAAATAAAGCTTTTCCCCAATGCCTGTCCAGAGTGTATTGATTTTGACATTTTCACATTTGAAGCATGTAGAATACATAACTTAGCAATGCACTGGCTTAGTCACCTCAGATTTGGCAGGGTGGTTGTCCTTGAGTTCTAAATGGCCACTGTTGATTCTGACAAAGTGGTATGCGGGGGTATTCACGCCATGATAGTGGCAGTTCTAGTTTATGATAAAATATAAATCTGGCTAAAATATAAAAAAAGACTGTGCCACTGTTTTTCTAAACTGATTGCTACATTTGAATTATAATAGATATTGACAGACTTTTCCTTGGGCCATGTGAGTTATTTATCGTTTCTGCGAAGTGAATTATTAAATTAAAAGGAATTATTGCACAATGAAAACTTATTTTGACTTTCACCTGTGCACTCACTATCTACCCTGCTTTATGAAGGAATGAAATGAGGCAGTGAAAAAATTCAAGAGCTTTAGAAAAGAGTGAAGTATATCATCAGATGAATCACAAGCAAAGTGTGCTAATGATAATCTTTTATTTTAGGTGGTTGTGTTGCAAGAATATGAAAACAACAGTAAGAACCCTCTAGAAGCAAAGTATGTATTCCCACTAGGAGATCTAGCTGCTGTTTGTGGGTTTGAAGCATTTATCAATGGAAAACATATCATTGGGGAAGTGAAGGAAAAAGAGCAAGCCCATAAAGAATATAAGAAGGCAATTAGTGAAGGGCATGGTGCTTATCTTATGGACCAAGATGAGGAAACTCCTGTAAGTACAGTGAAACTGTATAAATGGTATAAAATATGATATTTGACCTGTATAAATGGTATATATAAATAAGATATGATATTGAAACCTGTATAAGTAGTATATTAAAATGGTATAATTTAGATATGATATTGGACCTTTATAAATGGTATGATCTTAGACCTGTATAGATAGTGTGTAAGTGTATAAATGTTATATCAGAATAATGATATTTGACTTGTATAAATGGCATAATATTAGATATGATATTGGACCTGTATAAATGGTATGAAATGACATAATATTATGATATTGGACCATGAATTAATGGTATAAGATAAGATATGATATATGACCTGTATAAATGGTTTAAAATTAGGTCTAATTTCAACATGATTAAAATTGGTGTATCAATTTGAATTAAATTTCAGTTTTGGACTTTTGGACAAGATGAATATGTCAGTAATTGTCAGTCAATACTACATTGTATTGATTTGTTTTAAAGTTAAATAATTTTCATGAGAGCTGGATATTCCCATCTGTACAAGAAAAGCATTGTCTGGTCCTTTTTCTTGCAAATTACAGTCATGTTAATTTAAGTTCAAATAGAATTAATCATATTAATATTTCCAGTTAAGCTGAGTTTACAATTTCATTCTTAATGGCAGAATAATGTCATTCAAAGCATGTGACTCATTCAACAATAGCTTTGTATAGCAGTGTCATGTAGACATATAGATATCTCTCTTATTCACTTTTAGTTTGAATTGAGTCTTTGATGAATGTATCACTGTATTGAATAAGAGTGTGACTTAAAATAGTGTTGGAACATGCACAACACTAAATACTGTATTCCGGTATATACTGGAAAAGGTGCTTGAATGATTAAATTTTAAAATCTTTTGCCATTTCACCTGCCAAAATGCATTTTGGAAAGTTTAATTCATCTCTTCCTACCAATTTATATAAGAACTTGAATGATAAATATAAGAATTGTTAAAAAAGAAAAAAAAAAGATTATTTTTCTACTTTGTGATCATGATTTCTGCAAGTGTCTAACACTGTAGTGAGTTAAATCTATTGATTATCACTTCTTATTACCAGGATGTGTTTACAGTCAGCGTGGGCAACCTACCACCTGGGGCAACCGTGCTCATCAAGATCACATATGTGGCAGAGTTACAGGTGGAAGGGGAAATGATCAGCTTTAGGTTGCCCGGAAGTGTGGCTCCTTGGAAGAAAGATTCATTGAAGGAAACTACACAGGTATGATTTCTATCCTGTAGTTGGTGTTTTGACATTTTTCCATACTGAAGTTGTATAATATAAGAAATATACTAGTCCTGATATGACTATGCACTGTCCTGCTGATTAGACTGTTCACTTCCCTGCTGACTGGTCTTTGCACTACCCTGCTGACTGGTCTTTGCACTGCCCTGCTGACTGGACTTTGCACTGCCTTGTACCAATTGATGAAGGTTGTGGTATAACTTGTGAGCAAATTTAAGAGGTTTTCTTTATCAAAACTGCTGAAACTTGGGCAGGTACCTGTAATAAGTCTGGTCAGACCATAAAGACTTTATGCTGGTGGTACAGCAAGCATGATAATTTTTTTGCTAAATAACGGTTTTTGACTTAACATGTTTTGAGTGCATGGCTGTGTGAAGCTTTGTATGGGTTGCTTGGTTCTGTTCTTATAGTGAAGGCCAGATGTCATTAGATAACTTATATGTTAAAGAAGCTCAACTTAGGTTGAAAAGTCTAAGAACATTATATTTTAAACTGTTACATAATTTAACTGGTGCACTTTATATGGAAAAATATGCAAAAATTAATAAAAAAAATTACACTCTGTATTGAAAATGAAAATCAATTTTTCAGTGCAATTTTAAGCCCGCTTTGAGTTAAAAGCACTTTTAAATGCTTTTCATCTTTAGTCATTTTCATTTGCACAATAAAAATGATTATTCTGCTAAAATAGAGTGATCAATGATATGAAATTTTGCACACAAGTTAGTGTTGTATACCTTCAACAGTTGGTACACAAATCGTGATAAAGTATTTCCAGTCCCTCCATGTCAAAAAAACTTCTGAATCAGTAGAGTTGCTTTAAAAGGTTCATATGGAGAATTTCTTTTCTTTCTTGTTCCAGCATGAGACAGAAACCATAGAGGTTAAACAAGGGGAGACAAGTCTACAGGTTTCTGTAGAGATGCCCTTTGACATAAGGTCGATTGAATGTCCTTCACAAAAGATAAAGGTCAAGGTGAGTTATCAATAGAAATTCAACACTCAAGGAAGACATATATTTGGAAGAATTTATTTAGAGTCTGAAGTAAAATTTAACTATGTTGCTTTATTAAAGTTATGAAGCATTTTCAGGTATTGTTTTTGTTTAAAAGAGATGTTGTTGATTGTTTGATTATGGATAGACTTGGTTCTTTTATACAAGTAATTTGTTTCTTGATAAATGCCTCTGAAACAAAAAAATTGTACTTTTTTTAGATAGGGCAAACATAGTTTTATAACATTTAATAATGATTTAAGAGCATGTTAGATGCTTATCATCTAAAGAATGTAGTGCTGAACGTTAAATTATTTCTCTTGAAAAAAAACAAAATGTTAACAAAGTAGTATGTTGACTTACCTACAAAAGACTTTATCAAAATTAACTATACTTATTGCAAAATGCAAAAGAAACAAATGATGGTTCTGGTTAATTGGTCAATGAGTAACTTTTTGAAATTTTTTGAGGACATTTGAAAGCTTTTGAAGAATGAACATAAAGCATTTCTGTGATATAATGGGCCTTTTAGTACCTAAAACATTTACAATTCTGGATATATCAAATATTTGTGTCGATAAAAACTTGTAAATTATGTTTTTAATGATGACTTGCTTTATGTAATGATAAAAAATAGACAAATTTACATAAAACATTCTCACAGTATTTGAAATATATTTTACAGAGGACATTAACAAAAGCAACAATTGAAATGTTGGAAGGAGAATCTATTGGGGATGGTTTCCAGCTTTTGATTGGTTTAGCTGAGATACATGTACCAAGAATGTGGGTGGAACGGAAACCAGACGATCAGAATCATCAGGTGATTGATTCTAATACAAAATAAATGAGCGGCATCATGACAAAACCAACATAATGCGACCAGCATTGATCCAGACCAGCCTGCGCATCCGTGCAGTTTGATCAGGATCCATGCTAGCAGTTTCTTTACTTGTTATAGGGTCTGTAGGCGAACAGCATGGATCCTGATCAGACTGCGCGGATGCACAGACTGGTCTGGATCCATGCTGGTTGCAAACCCATGATGTTGGTTTTGTCATGGCGCGGCTCAAATGAGATTCAAGGATGCAATGTTGAGTTAAAATATTGGGGATATGTGTTTGTTTCTCTGTTCAATGCAGAATGAATACCTAATCTGATGTATTTTGAACTATATAGCCAAGAATGAAAATAAAACGGCATGTGTTCATGACTAGAATATAATTTGATCTGTCAAACAGAACAATAAATTTTCTACTTATTTCATGCTTTCCAGCTGTTTTCTGATTATTTCCTTGATTTCATAGCTACCACTTCATGACATCTTCAAATTATGACATCACAATATCCAGGTTGATAAAAAAATAGTTGTGTAAAGTTTTTATCAAAGGATGTTTTTCAAAAATTAATGATCATGAATCTTTTATGTACTGACATGGAGTATTGTTTAACAGATTATTTTTAAGAGCCATAGGTTCTTTTTATTTTTAGATATTTCTTAACCATGCCAATAAAAACAAAAGCTAAACAATTGGCATTTAGGAATATATTAATTTACACATGTACAATTAAATGTCATGTCCCTGAAGAAAGAAAATTTGAAAATTGAAAGAAAATGCTAATTAACTTCTTGTTTACTCTATGATTGTAAGAGATCATACAATTGTCAGATGTTTGTATATATTTTTTTCTTATCTTGTTTATAAAGGCATGCATGTTGGCATTTTACCCAGAATTTGAGGCGTGCGAGACGGATGATGTAAACATGATTCTACTGCTGGATCTGTCCAATTCTATGAAAGGAGATGCCATTGTTAGTGCCAAAAAAGTTTTACTGCTGACCCTTCAACATTTACCTTCCACCTGGAACTTTAATGTCATAGTGTTTGGAACAGGTGTGTGTGTCTTTGTGTGTATTTCTTAATCATAAGGTTAAACTGTTAGTCATTCAAGTGTTTTAATAGTAGTGGTATTGATAAAGAGACCATTTGCATCAGCACCATTCTAGAGAAAGGTAAAACAGTACATCAATGTTGTTTGACTTATGTCTGTTCTGTTTTGCTGCTAAGTTGTCAATATGTTATGATATAAGAATCTTTCGATACCTTTACTACAACGCATTTTTAGACCTTTACGCAAATTAAGCATGGTAAGAGATAAAATTCTATAACTTATAATTTTTCAGTTACTTTTAGTCCTTTATTTCACTGTTTTAGTGTGTACAGGTGAGCTTCATAGGTCTTCCCTCGCCAGAGGTCAAGCTAAAAAGTTTTTTTTTAACAGTGTCACTTGAAATATAAAGACACTTAATAAAAACAAAACTTCACATTTATTAAACAGAACTTTTATCTTTTTCTTTGAGATTATTTTCAAGTCATCAGTAATGTTGGTTTACCCGTAACCTGGTGAATCTCTTAAATGTACCTCTCCAGCTTCCATTTTAGAATAGTCCACTATCAGTTTTGGGGATATCAAAATGAAATTTGAAGTTGCACAGTCAACAGACTGCACAGATATCCAGGCTGGCCTGTGTCTATACTGGTGACAAAGTCAAAATACTTTAGATTCTAGCATGTGTAGGGTTCAAGTTGATATGAAAAGGTCAATGTTCATAAGACGGAGAAATAATCAAAGTAACAAATTTTTGACACATGTAGTTATTTTTAGTAACATTATGTAATTTTGTTTATTTCAGCCTGGAAAGAGTTGTTTCCCACTTGTGTAGCTAAAACTTCATCAAATATGAAACAAGCATCAGAGTTTGTGATGGTAAATACACATGTATTTGTATAGAGAAAGTAAAGGAATTTTGTGACATTGCTCTTAATTTGTTTATGTCAAGCTTTGCTACTGACAGAAAAATAGGACCTTCACACTCATACGAGTGTATCTACAACAGGGTGTATCTTTGTTATACCCCCACAAACGAAGTTTAGGGGGGGTATATAGGAGTCAGCTTGTCGGTCGGTTGGTCGGTCGGTCGGTCCACATCATGGTTTCCGGACGATAACTAGAGTTTGGAATGAGATATTGTAATCAGACTTGGTATATAGCAACCTTATGTGGAAACTCCGGTTGGTATTGCATTTGGACCCCCTGGAGTCAAGGTCAAGGTCAACGTTACTGAAAATAGAAAAATGGTTTCCGGACAATAACTACAGGTAGGAACGAGATATTGTTATCAAACTTGGTGTATAGCAAGCTTACATGAAGACCTGTGTTGGTATTGCATTTGGACCCCCTGAGGTCAAGGTCACCGTTACTAAAAATAGAAAAATGGTTTCCGGACAATAACTATGAATGAGATATTGTTATCAAACTTGGTGTATAGAAAGCTTATATGAAGACCTTGGTTGGTATTGCATTTGGACCCCCTGGGATCAAGGTCAAGGTCACCGTTATTTAATGGTTTCCGGACAATAACTACAGTTAGGAATGAGATATTGTTATCAAACTTGGTGTATAGCAAGCTTATATAAAGACCTGGGTTGGTATTGCATTTGGACCCCCTGGGGTCATGGTCAAGGTCACTGTTACTAAAAATAGAAAAATGGTTTCCAGACAGTTACTAGAGTTAGGAATGAGATATTGTTATCAAACTTGGGGTATAACAAGCTGATATGAAGACCTGGGTTGGTATTGCATTTGGGCCCACTGGGGTCAAGGTCACTGTTACTAAAAATAGGAAAATGGTTTTCGGACAATAACTTGAGTTAGGAATGAGATATTGTAATCAAACTTGGTGTATAGCAAGCTTATATAAAGACCTGGGTTGGTATTGCATTTGGACCCCCTAGGGTCAAGGTCACCGATACAGTGTTACTAAAAATAGAAAAATGGTTTCCGGACAATAACTAGAGTTAGGAATGAGATATTGTTATCAAACTTTGTGAAAAGCAAGCTTATTCAGAGACCCCAGTTGGGATTACAATTAATTGAAATATTTCTTTGTACACAGTTGATAGTTTGTGATCAATTTTTCTTCAGACTACTTACTTTTCAAAAAGTCAAAGTTGCTGGTGGGGGTATTAATCACCTTCAGTGATAAGTCTAGTTATTTTTTGGCACTAAAGGCCTTAAGGCAGTAATGTTTTTATCTTTGAATTTTACCTTTTACTGTTTCATGTAATAATTGATTGTACAGGGAAACTTCTGTAGTTCTTCTTTCTTATGAGAAGGAAGAACTATGTTTGTTGAAATTCACTGAGCCGTGATGCTATTAAATTTCACCTAGAAATCCAAAGCATTCAGAATGTATATGGGACATGCCATTTTGTTCTATGGACAGTGCCATTTTGATATAAGGTAGTTTTACTTTTAGTTTAGAGGTAAACACAGTTACTAGCAGCAGACTATAGGAAACAGTATGATTGTCATCATAGAACAGAAGAAGAAAAGTTTAGAAAAAAAAAGACAAAATTTAATGTATTATAATAAATGTCATTTTGCGTGTATAAATTATTTCAGTAAATATATATTGTGACACCCCCACTTCCACCTTCAAATGGGACAAGTCTATCTGTTAATTGCATCAGAAAACATTGTATTGTCTATTTAAAGGTTGAATTGTCTGGCCCCTTTAAGACCATTTCTAGTCAAAGGAAACCACATCTGCATGACACTGCTTATTTTTTCCAGCTTCTAAACATGGACTCCTGTTTATAATCAAATGTATATTCATAAATTTAGTGTTGCCCTTGAAACAATTTTGGTAAGCTTAACTTGTTGAAGTAGCTAAATCTCAAGATAATGATATTTCAGAGCTTGTCTCCAACTATGGGTAACACAGAGGTTGTGAGGCCACTACATACATTCTACCTGATGAAACAGGAAAACTCCATGCAGAATGTGTTACTTATATCTGACGGACATATGAACAACACGGAACTGTTACTAAATAGTGTACGAACAAATTGCCAACATACCAGAGTGTTTACTGTAGGAGTCAGGTAAATCAATAAATACTTGGTTTAAACATATTTTTATTCAAAGTAATATATACATGTTAAAATTTACAATTTAAGCAGAAAGGAATTGGACCGAGAGCTACAATAGCTCATGGTAGTCCTCTCCTTTAACAAAAGCAATATGTTCATACATGTATATTACATGGCTTATCATAATTTTAATTAAACCCTATAAAGAAGGAAAATGAAGAGAAAAAAAATACAAATACATGTATGCAATTGATAGAAAATAATAAAGAGAAAGATGGAGAAAAGAGGAGTTTGCGGATGTTTCTATATCATTTGTCGTTTTGGTAGGAACATCATGTATGGAAAAAAAAACACTTTATTTTGAAGTGATAAGAAAATTGTTTGTGTTGATCAGGTATATGATTTATAGGGATTTATAGATTGGTGAAAGTGGCAAGGAATCAAATAAGTTATAACTTGATTGCATTTTATAAAAGTGCATGTAATCATACTGTAGACAGGCTAAGAGCACATTTTTAAACAGATTTTTGAAGTTCTTATACATTCTTATTGTTCAGGTTTACCTGCTTTGTTATTAAAAATAATGTCCTAAAGATAATTTTTGTTAATACATTATAGAAAAAGATAAGCATTTGGGCTTGATAACATATATCCCAAAGATATTTATATCGTTTATTAATGAGATGATACTTAAAAAAAAGTTGTATAACATGAAATAAGGTAAAATACTTGAGGTTAGTGATTTGAGCATCAGCTCAGTCTGATCAGGATCCATGCTGTTCACTATCAGTTTCTCTACTTGTAATAGAGTTGGTAAGCGAACAGCATGGATCCTGATCAGACTGCGCGGATGCACAGGTTGATCTGGATCCATGCTGGTCACAAATGCGCAATGTTGGTTTTGTCGTGACGCGGCTCATTTATGTTTTTACAGTGGCACAGCTGACAGACACATGTTGAGGGCTTTGGCTAGAGTTGGTGCAGGGTCCTTTGAGTACTTTGATACAAAAGTTAAATCTAAATGGGAAACAAAGGTAAAAGTGATGGGCTGAGTATAGAAATAGTATGGTTAATTGTTTGTCATGTTGCTTAAGTTATTCCAAAATTCATGTTGTATTCCAGAAGACTGATACCTACAAACATTTCCAAAGATTTGTATGAAATAATTTTCTATTTTTCCATGAATATCTGTCAACTTCTCCTCAGAATACATTGCATCAGTCTATGTAGGATAAAAAGACATCAGCCAAAAAATGTTTTCAACCAAATAGAAATTGAAAAATTTATCCAGCTTGGAGACTGCAGTTGATAAAGATCTGTAGAAATTGTACCCTCCCTGCAATTTGAGGTTCTTGTCTTTATTTTATCTATTATATCTAAATGTCTTTATTTAACAAGGTTAAATCTCAGATCAGCAAGGCCGCCCAGCCAGGTCTGACGTCAGTACAAGTGGAATGGGAACAGCATGGTGCCGATGTTCCACCTCCGGTTCAAGCCCCTCGACAAATTACGGCCCTATTTAACGGTTCTCGTTCCGTGATATACGGATATGTTCCTAACTGTACAATGGTAAGTTCATTTTCTATTTTGTTTTCTGGTTGCTATAATCTCTTATGGAGTATTAGAAATCTGTGTTTATATTTGCCACTTACATTTTTGTATTATATCTCCCTCTAAAAGTTATGATATTATAATTTATTTCCCTCTAAAATTATATTAATTTTGCCTTTAATATTTTTGAAAAAGACCATTGCTGGAGACTTACAACTAAATGCTCATGCAAATTTTATAAAAAAAAGAAAAGAACTTTTTAACACATTATATTTGAATTTTATGCATCTAACTTGCATGCTATCTGTAGTATTAAATGGTAATTGTGCATAAAAATTAATATCCATATCCTCAATATAAGTATGAACTTCTGTAATTTTAGGCAACATTGAGAGCAAGTGTAGCTGGAGAAGAGGTCTCCACCATGGTATCAACCTCGGACCTCAGTATTACAAATGGACATGTAAGATTTTAAACTGTAGCATAGATTGATTATAAACTTCCCATAGCATGCCAAACATAATCATAAGTTGTTGTTTTAATATTAAAATTCAGATATAACTTTTTTAACAATTTATCGAATATTTAGTATTGGGTCATTTGGTACGCTGACAATATATCATTATAAAATTTCTGTGAAAGTTAACTATACAGGCATGACCTCACATGTATTTATTTAAAATTTGATAAATAGGCATAATAACTTTATTTTCCAGATTTTACATCGTCTGACAGCAAGGGCAATAATCAGTGACTGGGAAAATGGAGTCTTGTCTGCTGACCGTACTGACCATGAGGTACAGTAAAATTCCCCAAATCTGTGGGGTATTTATTATAGACATTTTTCACCAGTACAGGAACCATACTGTCCAGTCTTACCAGAATCATTTTTGACAGCAGTATTTCAACATTTTGACATCAGATTACTAGTACCAGTGAAATATGATTTATATCATTCACTATATATGATCTCTAATTTATAAAAACACAGTCTTTTTATATGTTAGGCATAATAAAATTTTATCCTAAACATTTTCTTATATCAAATGTTGGTCAATCACCAATATAACAGTCGATGTTTTGAAATATATAGTCATTCCAGCTCAACTTGACAATGAAAAAAGAGGCATAATGTTTTTTTAAGATGATAAATTGCAGTCTATTATATATAGAGCATATTGAATGAGTGTTGGTTTAATACTAAATTTATTGAACGAGTTGAATAAAATCATATTATGCAAGCATAATATTTTTCTATTCCACGAGTTAAATGAATTTAGTTTTGATTCTACACGAATATAGTATTCTATTTGTCACACATATAAAAAAGAACGGTAAACTGTTAACAAGAGTCACTTTTATTTGACGCACTATAGTGTAAAGCTAACAAGGCGCTTTAACGCTATGTTCATATATAGAGCGCCAATGACATCACATCAAAGTGTTATTACACAAGTGTTATATTGTTTTTAGTACATGGCTTTATTGTACTCCTGCACTATTAATTTAAAGAAGTAGGAAATTTCATGTATTTAATTATATTTTATTACAGATATTGAAGATGAACACTAAAGATTATATCATTGAGTTAAGTAAGGAGTACTCTATTGTCACTCAATTCACCAGCTTTGTTGCCATAGAAAAAAGAGACAAGGTATAGTATTTCAATCTAAAATTTATAGTACTTGCATCAATGTTAGGGGGTTTTTTTTGTGTGCGGAGGTGGGGGTGAGTGGAGGGGATGGGGTGGTCAGGAGAGGTTTGTTGCATATCAGACTGGATCATCTAGAGTTAACCCACTAGATGCAAGATTTAAGATTACTTGCATACTTTGAACAATAAATTCCACTGTCATTATGCATAAGTTGTATAAGTTGTAAATTTATGGGCAGCTGTAGAGAAATGGTGCTTAATAAAGATATGCGGTTCCTTTAAAAAAATTGATTATGGTTAAAATGTAATAAAAACTCTGCTGTTACTAGTAATTATTGGTTTCAGCCTTATGGACTGTATTAAAATAATACATTTCTAGTAAAGTTTTAAAAACGATAATCACAGCACAACAATTGTGTAATCCTTTGCGAAAAAGATTTTCTTTGCTAAATGCTCATTAGTTGACACAAAGTTAACACCAGTGAAAATAATGAAATTTCCAAACAGAGCTGATATTACTTATGATGGTTTTTTTTTATGCCCCCTTTTATTGAGTTGGCACTGTCTGTCCGTATGTCTGTCTGTACATCCCCACTTACACAACACAACTGTATCTTTGTCATGCATGGAGGGATTTTGAAATAACTTGACACAAGTGTCTACCACATCAAGACAATGTGTCATGTCCCTACTTTGAAGATCAAGTTCACACAGTTACAAGGTTCACATTCTCACAACTAGAGTTTAAAGGTACACACATTTGTGGCCGCACTGTAAATTTGTCATGCATTGAAGGTTTTAAAAAAATCAAAAAAAAAATCTTGTTTTTTATATTTCCAAAGGACGAGGAGAAGAAAGCAGTAGATGCCCCGGCTATGTCAGAACTAGTGGAGCGTGAAAATGTGGATCAACTTCAGTATATGGCATTTGAAGAGGTAAGATCAAAATAATAATTAGGTGGTTTGATGTTATAAGATTGTAGCTCATTCTTTATGTAAATTGATTAACAAGTGTTTGCCACTACCATTTAACATGTTATATTTGAAGTAGCCAAAGCTATGGCCATTTTAGAAAATGATGAAGTAGCCAACTTTTTTACTAGGGGTGTAACTTGAATTGATCTGCAGAACAGTACAATCTCTGCAAAGCAGTACCCTTTGATAGGCAAAGCTTTTTGTTTTTGCAGAGTTTTTAGTCTAGATAAGTGCATTTTATTAAAAAAACCCTGCAAGCCTCCAGATGAGCCAAAATATTTAAAAAAAATAGTCTAACTTGGGGGAAATATACTTAGATTGTAAGATAAATAGATTCAATATTTAAGTAATAATGTATATCTTTTATGAGCAATATATGACTTTGATTTTGCAGTATTTCATATCAACATATTTCTACTGCATTGCTAATGCAGTAAGGGCTATTTTTGCATGTTTCCACCTATTTTTGGTAATTTACATGGATTGTTAGTGCAGTTTGCATTGTGTAAATTACTTTCTTTATTCAGTTTGCAATTATTTACTTTAAGATAACAGATTGTCATACAGGAATTGCATCACTGTATAATACTACAGAATAATAGATCTACAGCTATAAGAATAGTTCTAACACGCTTCACACTATTCCTCTATCAAAAAAATAGAGCAATCAAGTGCATTATTACAAGATATACAATGTATGCACAGCATAAAAAATTTGATTGCTTATGTGTCATGTGATGTTAGATAACTATGAAGTCAATAAACCAAATGACATCAAGAAAATTTCTTCTACGCTCAATTTAGTCTAACATATTTTTATCAATTCTCTTTTTATTAAGCATGTTATAATGGAAATAGATATATGTTTTTCTTGCATTAAAGTATAATAAAGCATGCTTTATCGTATTTAATCAGTGACAGGTTCATCGACCTTCCTACGCATTTGAACTTGAACAGTGCATTATTCTACAACAGTGAACTCCACTAAATTTGATACAAATAAATGTAAATACCTAGTCCAATATTTAGGACAGTTAATACTCCAAATTATTATAATCTAATTTTGATTGACAGGATAATGACCTTGAGGCTTACTTTAAGAAACTAGATGATGAGCTAGATGAGATTGATTCTGATGATGATAAAATCAGACTCCTTAAGGAAGGTTTCAAGCTTGTACGGATGATTCAAGATACAGACCAACAGACAGAGACAATACTGATGGTTTGTGGGATATATATACGCATATTAATTTGATAACTTTCCTCTTGTAGCTGAGGGGTTGCCTTAACGGGTTGAGGCATCAGAATTTCAGCTACCGTTTATCCCTAATTAAGAGGTGACAAAATGTGTAAGAATAGCTGGAGTCTATGCATCCCTTAGCTCCAGCAGTTGGGATGGTTTTGACCCCAGGTGTTGCTTTGAAGATTGTAACACCCAAGGTCCTGTTTCGGTGCCTTTTAACCTAAACTTTGTTGGTGCGCCATAATATCAAACAAACAAATTATTAGATAACTTCTTCCAGGTTATATGACATATTATGTAAATTGTAATTAATATAAGAATTTTGAACCAGCTGCTGGTACAGACCGGGATATCTAGCAAGAGGGTAACTGTTTTATGGCAGTAACAAGGCTCTGTGTAGGGTGTAAGATTTTTCTAGAATCAGTGTAAATGGTAGAAAATCCTGTCTGACATGCACGAAAAAATATTGCAAAGGCTTTCTTTACCATTTTATTCCTGAAAGAATTAAAATTTAAGATGGTTAAGAATAAAGCTTTTTTTCTCAATATTTGTGAACTGATCTGAAATCAGCTATTCATTTTATTATCCTTGATTTCAGCTGGAAGAAGTGTTTGACAGTTTGGATATAGGTGATAAAGTGGACTTCAGTGAGACTTTTGGAATGGAAAGAAGTAAGAATATATTTGTCTATATCAACCTTTAATAAGTTACTAGTACCTTTCTTTAATGTCAGATCATCTATAAGGGCCACCTTTTAATACACTTGAATACCTTTAAATGAGCCGCGTCATGACAAAACCAACAAAGTGCGTTTGCGACCAGCATGAATCCAGACCAGCCTGCCCATCCGCGCAGTCTGATCAGGATCCATGCTGTTTGCTATCAGTTTCTCTACTTGTTATAGGGTTTGGAAGCGAACAGCATGGATCCTAATCAGACTGCGCGGATGCGCGGGCTGGTCTGGATACATGCTGGTCGCAAATGCATTATGTTGGTTTTGTTGTGACGCGGCTCAAATTACGTTTTAATTATGTGGAAGCTTAGCAATATTTTGATTATGAAAGTACAAAAATGTTCTGTACTGGTTGGGGACCACCAAAAGCGGACAACCACCAAACCCGGACGGCCCCGAAAATGCTTAATATAGTATTTTCTTTGTTCAGTAGTTGTCAGTCACTTTTTTTTTTTTAACAATAAGTGCATGTTTCTTATATAATTTAGTAAATAAATTTATTTCAACCTCCGTAAATAGTAATATTTTAATGTCTATTTTAAGAATGTTGATGTTGAAATTTGGGCATCAAAAAGCAATGCCTGATCTCATATACCAGCTATAATCATTTGCAAAGTAAACAATAGAATTTCCAAAACTTCAGCATTTGTTGCTGATATATTGTATATAATGTTAAAAATAAAAAATTAAAACACCCAAGCTTTTATATGAATTAAATCACGCCATGTACATATCTGGTACTGTAGTGTAGACAATTTAGGTAATTTTGATACCCTCCTTGTCGAGCCTCAGATTTAAGTGTCAATACAATCAGAAATAATCTAACTAGTTCGTTAGTTAGGAGAAGAACCTAGCTGAACTGTGTCAAATTTTTAGGTCTCTGAGTTCGAAATTATGAAATCTGTATGGAAAATGTTCAAAAAGTGTCCAGTGATGGTCCCCGATGTTTATTATAAAAAAGATAATAAAAAAAAAAATAATAATAATACCTAGAATGTACATGCTCATTATGTGAACCATATATACATGTTAAAAATTTTTATCAGAAAATAACAGTATGTATTAATTCCATTTGAATATTATGCTTGTAGCTTATTTATCCAGAAGAAAGTTTCTGTATATAGGCCACCAATGTACTTAATATAATAATATTATGAACTATTTTTCACTGGTTATAAACTTTTTTATTTATTGATCTAGGAAAGCCACCAAAACCAAAAAGTTCACATTTGTTTGTAAAAACTTTGACTGGCAAAACTGTGAATCTGGACTTGAATACTGACTGTACTATAGCTGACTTAAAGGTATTTAATTAAATTTCTTTTATCATTTGTTGGTTATGATTTATGATTATGATACATTAACCTGTAACTTGCTAAAACTTGTTGTTGTGTTTATTACTTCGGATCACGGCAGTAAGCCACATTGAATTTACCAGAGCACAGTTCAGCCACCGCATTGTTCTTGGACAGGCTGTCGAGCTGTTTATCAGTACTAATTGCTTTCACTTTTGCAAGCAAGTGATAACTTGTATACATGACAGAGCAGAGGTACAGTGCGAATGACTGTGGTCAATCACAACAAAAGTGACCTGCACCATCTGGGAATCGAACCTGGGTCGCCCAGCATATTTTTACATGCCAGTACAAGTGATGGGGAAAAGTAATTTTTCTCTTAATGAATTAACATTTGTCTTTTATTCCCAAGAGACATATATAAATCAAAATAATTTAGAAAGAAATGTTCTTACTTTAAGCTTATCAATTTATCTAATGAAGCCTTTCTTATACCCCTGAATGTAGATTTTAATCTTTAACCTATTTGATCCAAATGTGATTTAGACTTTGACACCACTTGTTTAGAACCAGCCTAGTCTGCACATCCATGCAGTCTGACCACAAGGGCTCTATACTGTGGGAAGTTCAATTTTCATATTATTAGCTTGACTATTTGCAGAATAATCGAGCTAATGCAGTCACCCATTTGTTGGCGTTGGTGTCCCTGTGGTTAAGTTTTTGCGTGTAAGCTGATATCTCCATAACTACTGAAGGGAATGGATTGAAACTTCACACACTTGTTCTCTGTGATTATCTAACATGATTGGCACAAGTCCAATAACTCTTATTTGCTTTTTTTGCATAATTATGCTCCTTTTTTACTTAGAAATTCTTGTTAAAGTTTTTGCTTGTAAGCTGGTATCTTCATAGGGTTTGTGCTTTTTTGGGGACAATTTAATGCTTTCATAATAAAGCAGTGATTTACTCGATAAGACATCTTAATAACAAGCCTTTGTACCTTTTTGGACAATTTTATGTATTCATATAGGTAAGTACATGTATTATTATACTCAATGAAACACCCTTGTGACAACTTTTTCGATTGGTGGAGCGCTGCTGTCCTCCAACAGTTCTTATTTTTAAATTGAAATCCTTTAAACTTTGGCTGAACTGTTCCAGGGCAAATCTTTTTCACAATGTCAGCAGGTCAGGAGTTCAACAATGATTTATCATGATAGCTATCCAAGAGATATAAGTCCGTTCTTTTTTTAAACACCATTTATTTGTTGTACAATCAAGGCTATGATACAAGACAAAGAGGGTATACCTCCTGACCAGCAGAGACTGGTTTACGCTGGACGTCAGCTAGTAGATGACTGGACATTGCAGGATTATGATATACAAAATGAGTCAATGTTACATCTTGTATTGAGATTAAGGGGCGGTAAGTCTGTATGTCTTAAATATAGAGTAAAGGGAGATAATGCATGTTTCAATAACATCAGTCATAGTTGAATCCTTTATTTATTGGAAAAAGAGCAAAAATAAAGGATGATAAAATAGGTGTATTGTCTAAACATTATGAAGTATAATGACAATTTTTCTAATTTATAATTCTTTTGTTTTAGTTATTTTTGTCATTGTATGAAAAAAAAGTTAATTTCATGAAAAGACTAAAACACTCTTGAATATTTGAATATTTCAAGCATTTTACTGTCTGTATGGAAATTTGTTTAACTCCAGTGAAAATGGTTATTCATTTCTTACAGGACCATCAGAAGATCAGGTACTTAAATTTAAGAAGGCAAGAGGACTTTTGAAGGTAAAAACATAATTATAATTATGTATTGATTAAAATGAAATACACAGGTTTTTTGTCTTCACCATATGGCTATATAGAAATCACTTTATTTAAGAAACAATATATCCCAAACAGTGATTTTATTGCTCTATAAAATCACTGTTTGGAGTTTGGATGTGAGGAATTATATTACGTGGGCATATAATGATCCTTATCCGAACGGCAAACAGTGATTTTATCAGGCATGTGAATTTATTATTTAATGAGTTCAGATTTTCATAACACTGACTTTATAACCTGTTTTTGTAAGGAAAAAGGCAGCAGTATTTCTCTGACAGTAGTTTCACCACTATTAGATTTGTATTGTTTGGGAATTTATAGCTGATAGTAGTCAGATGAGGCCTTTCCTTTAGGCCAGAATTTTTAGGCCAAATTTTAGAGCATCTAGCTTGCGTAATCTTTAAACTAGTGCTTTGTCCTGGTGTCTAGAGACATTTTGATCTGTGTAGAATAACATTCCATTAACTTGAGTAAAATTATATTCCAGCATGAAAGAGAAGCCATGTCAAAGATTTCTGCAGATGTTAATGAAACTAAAATGCTTTTAGTAAGTTCTCCTTTAGTGGCCCTATCATTGCTTTGTTTTATATAGCTGTTTACATTTCACTTTACTATTACACTTTACTTTAATGATATGCATTTAATTACTATTACACTTTACTTTAATGATATGCATTTAATTACTATTACACTTTACTTTAATGATATGCATTTAATTACTATTACACTTTACTTTAATGATATGCATTTAATTAAAAAGAAATGAGGACACCGTTCTGGACTCACTGGTAATAATGCAGGCTGTCAACCAATTTCTAAAATTATATTCCTTTATAAGTAAAATTATACCTATTTGCAAAAATACTTCCTATATTAAATTTTATAGTATATTCTCCAAAATTATTCCTGCGTTTGGACAAAAAGGTAATCTAAGTCCTGAAAAAAATAATGTTTTTTTGGCTTGCTATGCTGGCAATACCATTGGATTGTAATTCTAAGTAAACATCAAATCTTGTTCCTATATTATTTCATTATTTTGGCTTAAACAGGTCTAAAGCCAGTTAACAGGTTGAAAATGTTGACTTAATATCCATTCCCCTATTCTTTGTTTGACAAAGTTACTGAGCATGGAAAGTTAGAGGTTCAATTTCTAAAATGATGCATTGCTGATTTTGAGTAATTGATTTTCCCAGCTTTAAATTTATTCAAAGTTTTTAAGATTTTAAAATCAAGATACAAAAATTGAGCTACGAACTGTATAGAGCCAAGTCAGACTGCATGGACAATCTTTATATGGCAAGTTGTATTTATGGTTTTTGAATTATATGAGCCGCGTCATGACAAAACCAACATAACCCGTTTGCGACCAGCATGGATCCAGACCAGCCTGCACATCTTCGCAGTCTGATCAGGATCCATGCTGTTCGCTTACCAACTCTATTACAAGTAGAGAAACTGATAGTCAACAGCATGGATCCTGATCAGACTGCGCGGATGCGCAGGCTGGTCTGGATCTATGCTGGTCGCAAACCAATTCTGTTGTTTTTTTTGTGACGCGGCTCATATATACAGCTTAACAGATGAATTTACAGAGGTAAATCCCTTAGAGATACAGAAACTAGTAGTCCAGTTAACTTCTGGCAGTCCAAGTTTCAAAAACATAAAGGTCTTTACATTGTAACCAAATGCATGCTTCCCCTGAAACTGAACAATATTTTAACCAATGTTTTTTTCTCTCTTTTTAGAATGAAAATATACAAGCAGTACTGGAAAGGGGAGAAAAATTAGATGAATTAGTAGAAAAGTCAGGAGACCTAAGTTTACAGAGTCAAATGTTCTATAAAACTGTAAGTTTATCACATATTATAGAATGTATCAAAGTAGTATACTCCTAATGCATTACCTCCCTTTGAAGACTATTTAAATGGGCTAGGACTCAAATGTAAACTGCATTGAAAATGAAGGTATTTGGTTTAGACCGAAGTGTGGCCAACTTTTCAGCTGAACAGAGCACATTGTTAAGTGCTGAATAGGTGAGCTTAAATTGTGATGGCAGTGTGTCCGTCATTTGTCAATTTATCCGCAAGATCTAAACTTCTTGATGGATCTTGACCAAACTTCACAGAAATGCCACTACAGAAGTTGTATAATGGTTTCAGTATGATGCATTTAAGTAGGTCAAAGGAGCTAAAAATATACTTTAAAAATGAAATCTTTAAAAATATTTTCCTCACAAACTACAATGCCCAGTGCTAAGATATTTGGCATGTAGCATTACCTTGTCAACATCTACAAAACTAATATAAATCAGGCCCCAAGGATCAAAAATGGCTTGGCTTTAGGGTTCACTTAGTTTACATAGGGTTATATAGAAAAAAAATACATTTAAGTCTACTTTATGAAACTGCAATAGTGTAAAGAAAAATAAAATTGATGAGTATGAATCAATTAAAGTGATTTATTAAATTGGTGCATGTGTGCAGGTCCTGTTGGGTTATACAATTTCTTCTATTCACAAATTCTACATTTCTCAAAGGGATTTTAGCCGCACTTCAAAGAAAGATTATCAACATATCATATTTTCGGGATTTTATGAGGTAGAATTATGGCCCTTTTGTGTTTGTTTCTGCTCGCAGATGTAATTCTGATGAAAAACTGTTTTATAATCATTTTTTTCATAGTCCCTCATGTACAGACTCAATCAAACTAAATCTGTTTATTTTCATGTAATTTTCTTGTGATTAATGCCTTCGAGGGATCACACTTTCTCCAGATTTTTATACATCACAACAGCAGGTGTCAAGCATGTGAAGTACTGAATTGACTAGATTTCAATAAATCTCTGCAATAAAAGTATTTTACCCAAAGATGAGCATAGTATATCTTTTAAGTTTAAGATTTTTCCTTTATTGCAGGCTCGCAGCAGAATTGATGACGATATGGAAAGAATGAACGTATATGATGGAACATCTGAAGAAGAAGAATCTGAAGAGTCAGATTTTGAATGTTCAGAAACTCTTGGAGTTGAACAAGAATTTGGAGTAGATCTTACTGCTGAAGAAGAAAGAGAATATGATTCAGATGATTCGGAAGGAAATTCTGAAGATGAACTGTTACATGAAGGACTGCAGATGAACTTGTGAGTTTTTGTAAAGGCTATTTAGCTTTTTTTATATTTAGCTAGATTATACATGTATGTAGCTTAATAATGAAGTGGCAGATGATAATTATTGTCCATGTGTATGTTCAGGTTTTTTTTACTGAACCATTAAGCTTTGTCAATATTTTTTAAATAACTTGGCACAATAATGTTTGTTCACCATCACGAAACAATATGTCATAATTTAAATTCACAATAAGATGTCAATAATTAGGAACCATTACTGTTTCATTCCATGGGCATTTTTTATTATTTTAATTAGATTTTCCAACAAAAAGCTCAGGTAATAAGATAAGTGAATATGGACAGACAGGCATTAGAGTGTGCCTAAGTTGTTAGAGTGTGCCTAAGTTGTAAACATTAGGTTCTCAGTGTAACTGAATATTTCTGTAACTTGGCAGTTATAAAAAAAGGGCTTACATTCATTGTAATGACTATTACACCTTCAAATACATATCTCTACCAAAGGTAATAACTTAAAGGTCATTCCGACAAGTTTGTTGGTAGTACAATGTATGCGAATTATGTTCTGTTCCAATAACCTGAGGATTTGTGCTGGGATGAGATACCAGCAGGGAGTTTTTTAGCTCACCTGTCACAAAGTGACAGGGTGAGCTTTTGTGATCGCTTTTCGTCCGGCGTCTGTCCGGCGTCCGTCCGTCCGTAAACTTTTGCTTTAAAGGACATCTCCTCATAAACCACTGAGCCAATTTCATCCAAACTTCACAGGAATGTTCCTTTGGTGGTCACCTTGAAAAAATTGTTCAAAGAATTTAATTCCATGCAGAACTCTGGTTGCCATGGCAACCGAAAGAAAAATCTTTAAATATCTTCTTTTAAACAACCCTAAGAGCTAGAGCTAAGATATTTGGCATGAAACATCTTCTAGTGAGTGTTTACCAAGTTTGTTCAAATAAAAGCCCTGGGGTCAAAATTGGCCCCGCCCCAGGGGGTCATAGATTTTCCCTATATGCATATAGTAAAAACTTAAAAAATCTTCTTTTAAAGAACCCAAAGAGCTAGAGCTAAGATATTTGGCATGAAACATCTTCTAGTGAGTGTCTACCAAGTTTGTTTAAAAAAAAGCCCTGGGGTCAAAATTGGCCCCGCCCCAGGGGGTCATTGATTTTCCCTATATGCATATAGTAAAAACTTAAAAAATCTTCTTTTAAAGAACCGAAAGAGCTAGAGCTAAGATATTTAGCATGAAACATGTTCTAATGGGTGTCTACCAAATTTGTTCAAATAAAAGACCTGGGGTCAAAATTGGCCCCGCCCCAGGGGGTCATTGATTTTCCCTATATGCATATAGTAAAAAAATCTTCTTTTAAAGAAACCAAGAGCTAAGATATTTGGCATGAAACATCTTCTAGTGAGTGTCTACCAAGTTTGTTCAAATAAAAGCCCTGGGGTCAAAATTGGCCCCGCCCCATGGGGGGTCATAGATTTTCCCTATATGCATATAGTAAAAACTTAAAAAATCTTCTTTTAAAGAACCCAAAGTGCATAAGCTAAGATATTTGGCATGAAACATCTTCTAGTGAGTGTCTACTAAGTTTGTTTAAATAAAAGCCATGGGGTCAAAATTGGCCCCGCCCCAGGGGGTCATTGATTTTCCCTATATGCATAAAAATTATAGTAAAAACTTAAAAAATCTTCTTTTAAAGAACCCAAAGAGCTAGAGCTAAGATATTTAGCATGAAACATGTTCTAATGGGTGTCTACCAAATTTGTTCAAATAAAAGCCCTGGGGTCAAAATTGGCCCCGCCCCGGGGGTCATTGATTTTCCTTATATGTGTATGGCAAAAACTTAAAAATCTTCTTTGAAAAAACCCATATAGCTAGAGATTAGATATTAAGCATGAATCATCTTCTAATCAGTGTCTACAAAGTTTGTTTAAATAAAAGCCCCGGGGTCAAAATTGGCCCTGCCCCGGGGGTCATTGATTTTCCTTTTTTGTGTATAGCAAAAACTTAAAAATCTTCTTTGAAAAAACCCAAATAGCTAGAGTTTAGATATTAAGCATGAAACATCTTTTAGTAAATATCTACAAAGTTTGTTCAAATAAAAGCCTGGGGGTCAAAACTGGCCCTGCCCCAGGGGTGTCATTGTTTTTAACTATATGTGTATAGTAAAAACTTAAAAAATCTTCTTTTAAAAAACCCAATGAGCTAGAACTTAGATGTTTAGCATGAAACATATCTGGCCCTCTTGTTTTAGATCTTGAGACAGCAAGATATTTTATGCCTAGCCCCTTTAAAAGGTAGGGAGCATTGTGATTTTTGTAGGGATGTCCCCTGTAATCATGTCAATTAATGAATATAGTTCAAATATTACTTAAACCCAAAACACAAACAAATTAATTAATTGCTATCATAGTCCAATCAGTAACTTTAAGTTTATTTACTCAAAAAGGACATTACATATGAGCATTAGCTGACCTTTAAGGTCAAAGGTCAGGGTCAAGGTCTGAATGACGCTTTGGGTAAAATCCTTGTTTGATCAGTATCTTGAGTTTGTGAATTGCCCATGATCAGTAGAAAACCCCTACTTATTATGAGCTTATTTAATACTCAAGGTCACAGTGATGACCTTGTGTTACAAAGTACAGTACTCAAAAAGTCATACTTAACATAGTGGTTCTCTGGTGGAAACCTCTGCTTAGATGTTATATAAATATTTGTAATTATATTGGTTTGAATATTTTTGTTTTCTTTATAAGTTAATTTCCAATTTTGTTATCATCCAATTCGATGTTGAATGTATGTATACCGTATAAGTGGTTTTTTCTGCGGGCTCCAAATTCTGCGGTTTTTCCAAATTTTGGCATGTTTTTATTTCTGCGGACTTTATTTCTGCGGCACAGTCTTTGGACAAAACGTGATTTAAATTCTGCGACTCATCTTTTCAAAGTCTAAGTCACATTACTCTTCCTATTTTATTTGCATTTACACATTCGTATTAAAATTTTGTTTATCGTCGTCACTGCAAAACTATATAGTAATTACAAACAATTATATTGTTTGCTTGCAAACAAATATAATGTGCATATTTGATCAGCGTGAAATGACGTGTGAAAAATATACCCCGGTAGTATCTTTAATTTAATAAAATTGATAGAAGTTTATCGTAAATCAGACAACAATTAATGTATACGACGATTATTTAGCAGTATAAGGGTTAAAATGATTTTAATGATTTAGTAGTTAACAAACCTTTTTAACGTACAGGCAAACACTATGATGTTTAAATATCTTTATTCATAAATTGGCATAATTAACAGTAGGTACATCCTTTCAAGCATATATTACATACTTAGCCGAAATCAATTTTATATAACTCGATGACCCGCTAACCTTTATAATCCGTTAGTCGTTATTACTTTAGATGAAACAGGTCATAATGTAGGACACATATCGTTAAAAAAAACATGGAGAAATATTCTGCGGTTTTTATTTCTGCGGTGCTGAAACTGACCGCAGAAAACGCAGAAATAAAGTCACCGCAGAAAAAACCACTTATACGGTATATTATCAACTCAAGTCTTGCAACTTATTTTGTCTTCTTCTTTTTTCAAGATTGATCTCATGTATGTCGGTGTTGAATGTATTATTATGAAATCAGCTTGTGTTATTATTTAATCTCTTGTATTGTATTTTGTATATGGTTTTGTATATTGGCGAGGCTCACAGAGAAGACTGCTCACAGGGAAGACCGAGCTTGCCCAACTGTGTTGCCTCATTAAATAAAGTCGTTACTTACTTGCTTACTTACTTGCTTGCTTGCTTACAGTACAGTACAGTACAGTATTCTCAGTGATAGGTTTGTGAAAGTTATTCATCATAATACTATTATTATGAATGTTTCTTATCAATATAATACATAGCATTTATAAATGTAAATATACTGTGGCAGGCAAATCATAAAAGTTCAGGCATATTAGTCTCCTGTCTGTATTTAGACACAATAAAAATTATTTTAAATTTATTTTATTTCAGCGAGTCAGACAATCAATTCAAAGGCTGGGCAATGGAGGTATAATTATCATTTTTACTAAAAAGAGTATAATTGATATAAATAATATAATATTATAAAAAACCTTTTTAAATCTTTAAGGCATGATTTCTTAACCCTTTGTAGCAGCCATATATTGGCACATACCTGACTGTAACTTTGTTATTTATATTAGACATACAACATAATTACATATGATAGTTAATTTAAAGGCATTTACTATAGCTACCGGTACATATAGACATAGAGGGCAAAATAAATTAATGTAACCCCTAAAAATGAGCTTCAGGTGCCCTACAGTTTCGACAGAACATATTATAAAACATTTCAAAGATTGATTACTCACATTGTTGTCATACTGTTTTGATTATACATGGATAGCAAAAAATCTATGTTTTTTAAAACTTACACATGTAAAAATAGAATTAAATGTTCTGGAACAAAATGTACAGTTGTAATATAGAAGGATTATTTACAATTTTGTGCATGTGCCGACACAAGCTTTATGGGAATTTTATAAACATAATGATTTCAATTTAAATACTTTGGTAGTCTGATTTTCATAAATATGCAAACATATTTCTAATTATTATAGATGGCACAATCCTATGAGAAATTCTCGGCACAGGCAGAGGTATCTACAAAAAGGCTTATGGATGTAGACACACATAAAGCTACGCCTGAATTAGAACAGATGTTAGATGCTGGAGCTGATACAATGTTTAAAAAAGTAAACTCCAAATCGGCAGCATATGACAGTGATGATGAATCTTGTGATGATGATATGGGATTTGATCTTTTTGGGGGGGATAGTTATGAAAAACAGGAAAGGTCTTCACCTAGTCCTGTCTCACGTAAAACACATGGTGGAATGCTCAATCGTGACATACATTTAAGATCACCTATAGAGATAGAGAAAGAAGAGATTGTCCAGAAAGCTGTATCACATGTAAATGTAGATATGCTAGAGTGTAGTGAAGAGCCTGAATTTGCATACTGTTTGAGCATGGAAAAAGACTATACTGAACCTATGGAAGAGTGTTATGAAGATGATGACATTTATGAGAACCCTGAAGTTGAATATGAAGGTCAGAGGGGGACCTTTGCAGATTTGAGTCATGACTTATCTGCACGTGAACAAATTACTATGAAAGCAAATGTAGTATCAAGTTTTGATAGTGAACCTCAGTTTGATGAAATTGGTGAGTATACTCTAAAAGCAATAGTTTGATACAGGTTTTTATTGCTTAAGTCTTAGAAGTTAGAAATATTGTGTCTTAAATCTGTAAAACTATTATTGGACAGTGGGACACTACTTAGATATTTAGCATGAAACATTGACTTGTAGACCTCTACAAAAATTGTTCACGCTATAACCCTGTGGTCAAAATTGCCCAACCCCAGGGATCATGGGTTTTCTTTGTATACATATACAGTTGACTCTCAATAAGTCAAAATCGCTTAACTCAAAATTCCGCGTTAGTCGAAGAATTTCTAAAGTCCCGTCAAATTTCCTTCTTTATCTTTGTCTTTTTACTCTGCTTAGGTCAAATTTTGACTTACTGAGACTCCTGTTTAGTCGAAAAGAAAATTTGGTCTTGTCAATTTAAGTCCAACATTTTTTCATCTCAATTAGTCGAAGTGTGAAAACAGCTGATTGATCAAAGGTCGGCGACATCAAGGTGAGAATTTGTCACTTGTGATTCACACGTTTCATAGTAATTTTAATTGCCGATCATCATGTATTATTAACATGTTGTAAAAGTGGCTTTAATCGGTTTCAGGACTTAATTGGTTTTAACAGTTATATATCTAAATTAAGATTTAGTAACATTTCTTAAAGAAAGTTGACTCGTGCCAGTCTGACAGGTTTTAGTCAAATAACAGCCTAGGTATTGATGTTTGTTATCAACGTAAATGACATTTGTATAATTAATGTTCCGTCATATTGCATACATTAATATGTACTTCCGGTTCACGATAGTTGCTTCTTTTGTTTTTGTCCGATGATCAATTCACTTCAAATATTAGATAAATTTTTGAATGTTGAAATAAATATGTTATTGTGCTTTTATTATAATGAATTGTCATGAGTGCTTATTAAAAACATGTGCTTTACTGATGAATACTAACAAACTTGCATTTAAGTCATTGCTACAAATGTTTGTGTTTCTTTGCACATGATTCAATCAGGCACATGTATATACATGTACGAATGTCAACGTAATCCACGTTACTCAAATTTCGTTTATCTAGAAGTAAAATGCCCAGTCCCTTGGATTTCGAGTTACCGAGAGTCAACTGTAGTTATTTCTGTAAAATTCCTCTTTTTAAAAGCTAAAAGAGTTAGATCTTAGATATTTAGCATGAAATCTCTAAAAAAATTGTTCAAACTATGGCCCTGGGGTCAAATTTCGCTTATAGGTTTTCCTTTTATACATTTAGTAAATAATTTGAAAAACATTTCCTCCAGAACTATAAAGGTTAGGGCTTTGTGATTATATAACTGCACATTTGAACTCCATACCAGGCTGTATTATAACACAGATCACTCAAAGTCAGGATCTATTTCCAAAATAAAAAGCCATATTACAAACATGCAGCATTGAATAATCACTCATACATAGGTAAATTTTAATTTCAATGAAACAAAGATAATGTGAAGTATTGTAATTCTATAATAAAGACATTTTAATATGTTACATTTCAGTATCTGGACGGCCAAGCTTTGGTGGTGGTGGAATGCCTGATAGTGTGGAAATGGACCAGAAAAAAAAGGTAATTAATGATGTTTTGTAAAGTATATATATATGTGAGTCTAGCTAAAGATATATAAAAAAGAGTATTTTCTGGTGGTATTTCACATTGTGTAAAAAGACAGCTATAGTTCTGGCATAAGATGATTTCCACTGAATAATTGCATTTTCCTTTTTTTGACAAAATTGACCAAAAATCCCCAATTTTATCTTGAAATTTCTCATACAATCTGTTTTAAACTAGCTTATCTCTTAAGTCTTATAAAGCTTATATTTTTATGAGAATCACTGTTCGTATTATTATGTAAATGTGTCTTAAAAGTGAGGTTTAATAGGGCCGTTAATCTTACTGAACTGAATGTTCTTATGTGCACCATTTCGATTTTCCAAATTTTAAAGGCAAAGGATAAAGACACATAAAGCCTAAAATTTGTTCTTGTTTCTCAAAAGCTTTATATTTTTCGTGTTTTGGTACAGTTAACAAAAGTACCTATACATTTAGCTGGGACATCTTTTGCTTCTTTATTATATAGGCAATAATAGTCCCTTTATAAAGATTTAGTATATTATATGGAAGTCAAAATACCACTTGTTTACATTTTGCCACCTTTGTGACAAATTGTTTGACATTCAGGTGATTATATTACCATCTCACATTAGCATGTTTACATACATAATTACCCTCTTTATGGAATGAGAAACCAAAACGAAGTTTGTGGGGGGGGGGGTATATAGGAGTCACCCAGTGGTCCGTCGGTCCAGTGTTCAGTTGCATTTTTTCTTGTCTGGAGCATAACCTGAAAACTAATGGTTGGAATTCAATACAACTTCATACAATGGTCAAGCACATTGAGAGGAAGTGCAGTGCACAAGAACCATAACTCCATCTTGACTAATTACAGAGTTATTACCCTTTGTTATTTTTCCTTGTCTGGAGCATTACTTGAAAAGTACTGGTTGGAATTCAAAACAACTTCATACAATGGTCAAGCACAATGAGGGGATGTGCAGTGCATAAGAATCATAACTCTATCTAAAGTATCTAAAGTAATTACAGAGTTGTTGCCCTTTGTTACTTTTCCATTGCTTTTTTTGTCAGGAGCATAACTTGAAGACTTATGGCAGGCAAGCACATTGAGAGGAAGTGCAGTGCACAAAAACCATAACTTCATTTTGACTATTTAAAGAGTTATTGCCCTTTGTTACTTTTCCTTGTCCGGAGCATAACTTGAAAACTACTGGTTGTAATTCAATACAACTTTATACAATGGTCAAGCACATTAAGAGGAAATTCAGTGCACAAGAACCATAACTCTGTCCAGAGTAATTATTGTGTTATTGCCCTTTGTTACTTTTCCATTGGTTTTTTTTTCCTGTCCAGAGCATAACTTGAAAACTACTAATTGGAATTCAGTACAATTTCATACAATGGTCAATATATTGAGAGGAAGCATAGTGCACAGAAACCATAATCCTTTCTTGACTCATTTAAGAGTTTTTGCCCTTTGTTACTTTTTATTATCCAGTGCATAACTTGAAGACTAAAGGTTGGAATTCAATGAAACATCATACAATGGTCAAGGGCAGTGAGATGAAGTGAAGTTCACAAGAACCATAACTCTATTTGGACTAATTACAGTTATTACCCATTGTTACTTGTTTTTGTCCAGTGCATAACTTGAAAACATTTAGTTGGAATTCAATACAACTTCATACAATGGACAAGCTCAATGAGAGGAAGTTTGATGTACAATAACCATAACTCCATCTTCAGTATTTTTAGAGTTAGTGCCCTTTGTTCCTTTTCCTTGTCCAGTGCATAACTTAAAAACTTTTGTTTAGAATTCAATGCAACTTCATACAATGGTCAAGCACAACGAGAGGAAGTGAAGTGCTTAAGAAGCGTAACTCTTTCTGGACTTTTTACAGACTAATTCAATAAAACTTCATCAATGGTCAACCACATTGAAAATAAATGCAACATACAAGAACCACAACTATCTTTAATTGCCCACAACCATAACTCTATTTCAATTCTTTGACAAGGTATTCTCTTACTAGTATTTTCCTAATTTCTGAAGCAGTTTTGCGGGGGTATTATTAAATCACATTTAGTGATACATGTACTTCTAGTTTAATTCTGATTCATATATAATATGCCTTTAAGGAAAATATGATAGAAATACAGATGGGACAATTTTTCAACATTTGTAATAGCATTGCTATAACTTTTATATGAATAGCCTTACTAGTTTGAAGGTTAGGTTAAACCTAAAATATTGTATATCACAGGACATCTCCATCTTCAAATATGGACATAGCCTATGTCATAACTTTTAGGGGAAAATTTCAAAATTTGTAGTGGCTGAATAGCAAACAGTGCCAGAAATAGTGTATATTTCCATCTTCCAGTCTGGACATAGCCAATCCCATAACTTTTAGGGGAAATTTCAAAATTTGTAGTGGCTGAATAGCAAACAGTGCCAAAAATAGTGTATATTTCCATCTTCCAGTCTGGACATAGCCAATCCCATAACTTTTAGGGGAAAATTTAAAAATTTGTAGTGGTTGAATAGCAAACAGTGCCAAAAATAGTGTATATTTCCATCTTCCAGTTTGGACATGGGAAATATTCAAAAATAGCAAACAGTGCCGACGGTAATCAGATGGCAGAATGACTGCCCCCTGATTGTAGTCTGTGCACTGGTCGCATTGCGTAGAAGCAGTTGCCATTGGCAGACTGTGAAATACTAATTATTTCTCCTGAAATTAAAATATTTCAAAATCATTAGTGCCTGAATAGCAAACAGTGCAGACCATGATCAACTTAAAACTTTTAAAACATTGCAGAAAAAAGTTTATTTAAATTTATGTTGTTTTAAGAAGTGGATAGTCTAAAACTTATCTTTTTGTATAAATCTATATGATGGATCCAAGATTAAAGTTAACTGTACGATTATAAACTTTCAATGACATAGTAATAAAGCATTACATGTATGATAATGACTGAGACATTGATGTTACAACATGTGTGTTTATTTCTTTCTCTATTTATATAATAACATGTACATGTAAATGCATGTTGACAGAATATAAGTTAACATTTTATTTAGGTGAGCAGTACTTTTTATACCTCCCAACAACGAAATTGTAAGGGGTGTATACTGGAATCAGCTTGTCTGTCCGTCCGTCAATCTGGCCATCCATTGGTTTTGGCTTGTACGCCCATTAACTTAAGATTCCTTTGACCAACAGCCTGCATAATTGACATGGAGGTTAGTCATGACTAGTAGATGACCCCTATTGATTTTGAGGTCACTAGGTCAAAGGTCAATGTTACCGGGACCTTGACTAAGAAAAGCTTGTCCGCCCAATAACTTAATAAAGCTTTGACCCACAGTCTTTATATTTGCCATGGAGGTTAGTCATGATTAGTAGATGACCCCTATTGATTTTTAGGGCACTGGGTCAAAGGTCAAGGTCAAATGGACTTTGACTTCAAAAAATTTGTCCGCCCAATAACTTAAGAAACCTTTGACCCACAGTCTTCATATTTGGCATGGAGGTTAGTCATGATTAGTAGATGACCCCTATTGATTTTGAGGTCACTTGGTCAAAAGTCAAAGTCACAGGGGCCTTTACTATAAAAGCTTGTCCGCCAAATAACTTAAGTTTCCTTTAACCACAGTCTTCATATTGGCCATGGAGGTTAGTCATGATTAGTAGATGACCCCTTTTGATTTTGAGGTCATTGGGTCAAAGGTCAAGGTCACAGAGACCTTGACATTAAAAAGTTTGTCCACCCAATAACTTAAGAAACCTTTGACCAACAGTCTTCATATTTGGCATGGAGGTTAGTCATGATTAGTAGATGACTCCTATTGATTTTGAGGTCACTGGGTGAAAGGTTAAGGTCACAGAGGCCTTAACTATAAAAAGCTTGTCAGCCCAATAACTTAAGAAAGCTTTGACCCACAGTCTTCATATTTGGCAAGGAGGTTAGTCATGATTTGTAAATGACCCCTATAGATTTTGAAGTCACTAGGTCAAAGATCAATGTTACCCGAACCTTGACTAAGAAAAGCTTGTCCGCCCAATAACTTAAGAAAGCTTTGACCTAAAGTCTTTATATTTGCCATGCATGTTAGTCATGATAAATAGATGACCCCTATTGATTTTGAGGTCACTGGGTGAAAGGTTAAGGTCACAGGGGCCTTTACTATAAAAAGCTTGTCCGCCCAATAACTTAAGAAAGCTTTGACCTAAAGTCTTTATATTTGCCATGCATGTTAGTCATGATTAATAGATGACCTCTATAGATTTTGAGGTCACTGGGTCAAAGGTCAAGGTCACATGGACTTTGACTTCAAAAAGTTTGTCTGCCCAATAACTTAAGAAACCTTTGACCCACAGTCTTCATATTTGGCATGGAGGTTGATCATGACCATTAGGTGGCTCCTATTGATTTTTAGGTCACTGGGTCAAAGGTCAAGGTCACAGGGACCTTGATTAAAAAAGCTTTTCCCGTCAAATGCTTAAGAATGCTTTGGTCAACAGTCTTCATTTTTGTTATTGAGGTTGTTTATGACTAGTAGATGGCCTCTATTGATTTTTAGTTGACTGTGTCAAAGGTCAAGGTCACAGGGATTTTTACTAGAATAAGTTTGTCTTCTCAAATGCTTAAGAATGCCTGTCTGCAGTGTATTGATTTTGACATTCTCACATTTGAAGTATGTAGAATACATAACTTAGCAATGCACTGACTTAGTAACCACAGATTTGGCAGGGAGGTTGTCCTTGAGCTCTAAATGGCCACTGTTGATTCTGACAAAGAGGTATGCGGGGGTATTCACGCCATGACAGTGGTAGTTCTAGTTTTTTCAAAAGTATGAATCAAAATGCAGAACTAATATGAATAAGAGTTCTTTTTTTTGCATACAGAAAAAACCAGCAAGGAGAGCAATGAAGTCACATTTCAAAGCTCCTGAATCATCAAGTATTAGTTCACAAGCAGAAAAAGCAGAAACTGGCCTCCCTTCTCATCTTCATTTGAGTAATTGTTCCATGGCACCACAGTTGCATCAGCTAATGGCACCACAATTGCAGCAAATGGCACCACAATTGCAGCCGCAAATGGCACCACAATTTCAGCAGCACATAGCACCACAGGTGCATCAACAAATGGCACCACAATTGCAACAGCCACAACAACAGCTAGATATGCCACAACCTAATGCAAGAACTGATAAATTTATGTCTAGGTCTAAGCCTCCTAAATTTATGTCTAGGTCTAAGCCTCTTGAAACTTATTCTGCATTGGAAAGGTCTGATGAATCATTGATGCATCAGATGGATAAAATTCCAACAGTGCATAATTATTTTTCAACAAGTTCTCCTTTTTCTCCTGCACCATTGAGTGCACCACCACCACCCCCACCTCCTCCAGGGGATACCCCAAGACCCACACCACAACTAGGGGTTGCTATTATTCCTTCATCTTTTCAAGTAGCATCTAGTTATCAAGCTCAGATACCAAGTTTTGGTTTTGGTGCAACAACGGGTGCATCACCACAACCCCCACCTTCATCAAATAATGCGACTATACCACCCCCATGTCCTCCAATGCTTGCCCACAGATTCCAACCATCGAGAGCTCCAAGCTATTTATCTTTCGAAGTAGAGCCTAGATATGCAGCTAAAGCACCAAGTTTTGCTTTTAGTGCAACAACGGGTGCATCTCCACCACCACCACCTCCTTCAAAGGAAGCTCACAGACCACCACCTCCACCAGGGGGTGCCCCCAGACCAACACCACCACCACCTCCAGGGGGTGCTCCCAGACCACCACCACCTCCAGGGGGTGCTCCCAGACCAGCACCACCACCACCTCCAAGGGATGCTCCCAGACCTCCAGCTTCTCCAAGGGGTGCTCCTAGCCCTTCATCTTCTCTAGTAACATCTAGACATCCAGCTCCAGATCCAAGTTTTTCTTTTGGTGCAACAACTGGTGGATCTTTGGAAATGCTAAAAAGTTGTCCCAATATTAGCCCTATTAAGAGGATGATTGCAATGTCATTATCTAAATCTGCTGTTGATGATAATGATATGGAGTTTACCAAAGCCTCTAAGCAGGAAAGCAAAGAAATACCTGAGAAGAAAAGCATTGAAGCTCATGTTAGAAGAAATTATGGGGGAAGGAGGGTAGATATGCGTGAACTTCAAGAGGTTTGTAAAACATAACACTTTTATAAGGTTTGACTTTCTTAATATACAGTACAGCTTTAACAATTTTTCCAAAGTCAGCTGATCCCTGCGATTTTTTTTATGGATGGATTGTCACCGCGACATCGCTGCAACAGTTATGACTTTCTGCTCATCCACCTGATCGGGTGAAATTTGCGCTGCTGCATATCGTCGCCCCGGATCACTGTGGAAAATTGCAACCATATTTTGCTCTCTCATGTGATGATTTATCAATTATTACACGTATTTACCTGCGTCCACGCAAAATTTGTCTCCTATAATATAATTGTGGACATTTGGAAATGTTAGCCCACAGTTCTCTGTTTAAAAAATGTTAAAATATTTAATTGTTATTTACCAAAATTCATTGCTGATTGTTGAAATTCCATTCTGCTAAAATACACAAAAACACTGGCAGCCAAAGTAGCATCCATAAATAAATGAAAATTAATGTTTCCATTGTTTAATAATATACACAAACTTTACACACGAGATGACCTCAGAAAAATAACTTAGTCGGCTCTTCAAAAGAATCTGTAAATCTTTGATGTTTACACGTGTGTATCGCCTGTGGAATCATCAAAGAAGTGCCGACACTGAACTTGACTTCCATCCTTTGTCATCTTTTTTTTCCTGTCCAGAAAAATTACACGTGCTTAATTATTGCTCAAAAGTAAAAAAAAAAAATGTTGGATAATTATGGGGTCAATTATTGACATATTATTAAACGTTAAGTGCATTAAATTTTAGATTGTTATATATTTTTTACATAAATGGAACTTCAAAATTACCAATTTTTATAGATATCAGATGATTTAACGGCTGTTATTTAAGCAATAGATAAGTGTTATTGTTTTTTCTAACAAGGCCATGTACATTTACGTGAACATTTACCTGTACAGTATTTAAAATTATATGCAAATTGATCAAGGCGAATCTCTGTGATTTTCCACAGCGGATCGCGGTGTTTTTTATTACCAGTCTGCGGTGATTTGTTGCCACAACTGTTAATAGTATGTCTCCCGCGATTTTCTGTTCGCTGTTAAAAGTGTCCGCGGTGACTGAGCGGGAAGTGAAAAAATTGTTTGAGCTGTACTGATACAGTTGACTCTCAGTACATCAAGTCCTGTCAAAATTTCTTCTTATATATTTGAACATCCTTTATGTCTAATCAAATTTTTACTCCAGATGGAGTAATTTTTATACTTAAAATTTTATAGTCCTGTTGTCCTGACAATTAGATTTAAACCTTTTTTTTTTTTTACACAAAAAATTGAAACATTGAGACAGCCAATGATCAAAGATCGGAACATCAAGGTGAAATATTGTCATATTGGCTGACACATAAAGTATGATTGTTTATTGCTAGTACAATGTATATTAAAAACTACTGGTCATCATGTGGAATTGACATGCTCTAAATATTGCTTTACAGGTTTTAATACCTCCACTCTAGGGGGTGGGTGGGATTTAGATTTGTTCTTTGTCAGGCTGTCTGTCTGTGCGTGTGTTCTCATGTTGTGTCACATGTAGCTCTAAAAGTGCTTGAGCCAAAGTCAACTAACTTTAAAAGGAATGTTTATCAGCATGTGAAGCTGTGCACCTGGGGGGGGGGGGGGGTATGGGGATTAATTCAGTTTTGTCAGTGTTATTGCCCTTGACTTGGTAAAAATGGCCAATTTTCAATATGTGTCGCCTGTAGCCAAAAAGATATTTGACATGGAGTCTTGAATCTTTACAGGAATGCTGGTCAGCATGTGTTATTCATTTGGGGAATAAATTTGTTGTTTTTATTCCCCAACCACTTAATGTTAAGGGGTGTCATGAAGAATTTCCTTTGCCTATCCCTATTTCATACCTTCCTACTGTATGTCAGTAGACTGACAAAACAGTGGAGTGTGGGAGCATCTGTGTTCTATGGACTCATTTCTTGTTTACCGTAAGATACTTAAATCTCAGTTTTATTGAGAAAATTTATTATGCAAACATTATATGTTTTATTTGTTCTGTATAATATATGCATACATTAATGTATACTTCCAATTCAAGAGATTTCCTATATTTTGTTTTAATACAAATGGTGAAATATACCTTTTTTCCAGCAGGTGTTTTGGATATTGGTAAATCTAATATTAGTTATATGATTGTGTGCATTTCAGATTGATAATTATCCTGCGTGCATTACATGAACATGTTCTGTTGATTATTTTCTTATTAAGTATTGATAAGTGATTCATACACAGTGCACCAGTTAGCATTTAGAAGTAGACCTACAACTTTGTACAATCCCTCCATTTAAAACAGGTACAAAGTATTACAAGGCAATTAATTGCACCTTTTAAATCAAATTCCATTTATCTCAAAGTAAATTATGCCGGGTTCCTTGAAATTCTAGATACTCTCAGAGTAAACTGTTTGTATTTTATTTATGGTTAAATGACTTTCTTTTATATTTATGAAATGGCCAAAAAAATATTCAAGATAATTTCCCATCCGTCTCCATTTTCGTGTCCGCTCTATAAATCCTATACCAATTGAAGGGATGTGCAGAACCCATGTTGCCCATGTGTCAGCTCAAGGTCAAGATCACAATTATTGAAGGTCAAATATCAAACAATCAAATTATAGACAGTATGTTGTGTCCGCTCTGTAAGTCTATACTAATGGAAAGATTTTCTTCAAACTTGGCTCAAATGTTCACCTCAACGAGGGGAGTTACTACCCTTTGTTCATTTTACATTTTGAAGTGTGTCTCGGACATAACTCTAAAACTATAAGAGATATGAACATGAAACTTTGTAGGTAGATAGATCTCATTGAGTAAATGTGTAGTGCACAAAAAAATTACTCTGCCTTGCTTAATTTTGGAGTTATTTCCCTTTGTTCATTTTTATACTTTGAACTTTGTCCTGGTCATAACTCTAAAATGATAAGAGATATCAACATTAAACTTTGTAGGTAGATAGATCTCTCGTTGTTTCTTATTTCACTGGCTAGTGCTTCAAGCTCGGATCAAGTTAAGCCTAATGCACCTAAGCTTAACCATTTGGTTTCCATGAGATGATAATCAACCCTTTTGTTGTTAAATGGTCAAAGTCATCTACTTTGAATTTGCCTTGGACCATGTGAAGTTTTCACCTTATGGATCACTTTAAATTTAAGTTTAATTATGTGGAGAGGCTATCAAGATGTAAAATTAATTAGTCTTTCTCAGTTGACAGTACCTGTAACAATTCAAGTAATAAGTAAAAATTGAAATTTTCATGCACAAAGACATCTGTTGCCACACAAAACACAACCAAAGCAAATGTCAAGTGATTTCAGTAAAGTAGAGAAACACTTCATTATATCACTGTTTCCTTTCAAGGATTCCCTGAATGTTTCTAAAGAGGACGAACTTGAACAAGAACTAAGAAAAGAAATGGAAGAAGAGAGGAGCAAACCACAGGTATCTTGGAGGGCAATGTCTATGCCTAGAAGTGAAAGAATATGTGATGGTAAGTGTATAAATAATGTAGAAAAAAACCCAGATTTATTTTGTGTTTAAGAGTTCTGAAGGCTCAGGGTGACATTTTTGGCCAGGTTCACCGTGAGATATAGTGCAAGGTTTCGATGGTTTTACAATGCACCTTATCTCCCTTGAAGTTTAATGATATGGTACAAAGCAAATTAACTTTAAATCGGAGAAGCAACTTCAAAGGAGCTAAGGATTGCAAATCCTGTGAAGTTTCACTGAAATCCCCCAGCAGTTTTGGTGATGCAGCGTGGATAAGCTTATTCTACTAAAATATAGACCATTAAGGGGCCAAGACTTTGCACACAAAAAATCAAGCAGAATATCAAGAGGGTATGCACAACTAGGCTTGGTAGCAAACATAATCCTGTGAAGTTTCCCTGAAGTTTTGGTAATGAAGTGCGGACAAGCTTATTTTACCCGAAAATTGACCATTAAGAGACCATAAAAAGCAGAAAATCAAGACACTATGAACAACTCGGCTTTAATTTCACTTAAATCCCCCAGCGGTTTGGAGATGAAGCTCTGACAAGCTTATTTTACTCAATATTTGTCAATTAAGGGGCCATAATTTTGTAAAAAAATTTAAGGGAAAAATCAAGAGAGTATGCACAATTAAGCATAGCGACAAACAATATTGTGAAGTTTCACTGAAATCCCTCAAGTAATTAAGTTTGGTGATGAATCACTGACAAGCTTATTTTACTCGAAATTTGACCATTAAGGGGCCATAATAGTGCAAAACAAATTCAAGCAGAAAATCAATATACTATACACAAATAGGCTTGGTGACAAAAATAAATATAAAATTATATTTGTATAGTTCCACTGATTGAAGAAGACAAATATTATTTTGTTAAACTTATTCAATAAATTCAGTTTGAAGCATACACTCTTACAACAATCTTTCATAGACTAATTAGGAAGATCATCAATAAACCTAAAGGTACATTATGCCTCAGAAGTCACTATTTTTATGCCAGTGAAGGAAGGCATATAGTAATTGCACTCACTGTCTGTCCAATTCCATCCTTCCATATGTGCATCCAGTAATCTTTTCCGTGCTAAGTCATCTCTAACACTGCTGGGGGGATTTCAGTGAAACTAATCACAGGATTGGTTGTCACCAAGCCTAGTTGTGCATAGTACCTTGATATTCTGCTTGATTTTGCCCATTAATGGCCTATTTTAGATAAATAAAATTCAATTTAGAGCATGTTAACAAGGTAAAATAAGATAACAAAAATAAAAAGGTTTGGAGAAATAAAATGATAGCATTTTGGGGGCCTAATGGGCCTTAAATAATTAAAAATCATCCATGGACAAATCCCTTGTGAATTAGTTTACATGTAATGTTGAGATTTTCTTAAAATGTCTACAACAGGTATATGTAACATTTTCTATAAAAACCACTGCATTTAAACATATTCAAGTTTCAGTATGAGTTTTATTATGCCCCCACAATGTGGGAGCATATAGCGTTGCACTTGTCCGTTAGTCCGTCCGTCCGTCAGTTTGTCCAGCCGTACGTCCCGAAATCTTGTGAACGCAACTCCTCTTAAACCAGATGGCAGATTTTCCTTAAACTTACAGGGATGAACAACCTTAATGTGTAGATGGTAGTAAAGGAAGGAATTTTCGCTGCGACCAAATTTAACAGAATTATGGCCCTTTGTTGATTTTTTCACTAGATACTATGTAGAAATTTTTTGAACGCAACTCCTCTTAAACCGGATGGCAGATTTTGCTTAAACTTACAGGGATGAACAACCTTCAGGTGTAGATGGTAGTAAAGGAAGGAATTTTCGCTGCGACCAAATTTTACAGAATTATGGCCCTTTGTTGATTTTTTCACTATATACTATGTAGAAATTTTGTGAACGCAACTCCTCTTAAACCGGATGGCAGATTTTGCTGAAACTTACAGGGATGAACAACCTTCAGGTGTAGATGGTAGTAAAGGAAGGAATTTTGCTGCGACCAAATTTAACAGAATTATGGCCCTTTGTTGATTTTTAGCTTTCAACTTGTGGCACATGTAGTCCAAAAAATATTTGACCTAGAGTCATAAGATTGACAGAACAGTGGCGTGTGAGGGCATCCGTGTCCTATGGACACATTTCTAGTCTTTAAATGTTTCTGTAGTCCTAAACTCACTTAATTTGTTAAATTGATTTAACTGCTTTGAATTTTAAAAAAAGGTCAGTATTAAAGTACAAAAATTAAGCAACCAAAAGTATATAGCGTGGTCAGACTGCACAGATGTTCAGGCTAGCCTGGTCAGACTGCATAGATGTTCAGAGCTAACTTGGTCAGACTGCACAGATGTTCAGGCTAGCCTGGTCAGACTGCACAGTTGTTCAGGCTAGCCTGGTCAGACTACACAGTTGTTCAGGCTAGCGTGGTCAGACTACACAGATGTTCAGGCTAGCCTGGTCAGACTGCACAGATGTTCAGGCTAGCCAGGTCAGACTGCATAGATGTTCAGGCAAGCCTGGTCAGACTGCATAGATGTTCAGGCTACCCTGGTCAGACTGCATAGATGTTCAGACTAGCCTGGTCAGACTGCATAGATGTTCAGGCTACCCTGGTCAGACTGTGCATTTGTTTAGTCTAGCCTGATCAGACTGCACATATGTTCAGACTAGCCTGGTCAGACTTCACAGTTGTTCAGGCTAGCCTGTTCATACTGCACAGATGTTCAGGCTACCCTGGTCAGACTGTGCAGATGACCAGGCTAGCCTGATAAGACTGCACAGATGTTCAATCTAGCCTGGTCAGACTGCAGAGATGTTCAGGCTAACCTGGTCAAACTGCACAGATTTTCAGGCTAGCCTTGGTTTATATTTATTTTTATTTAAAAAAAAACAGGTTTAATGTCAAACCAAGATTTGTTGTTTTGGGCATTCTTAAGAGATCTTGTTTTCCTGTATTTTGTTATTGTCCTTGACTTTATGAAGTCTAATAATGAAGTTTGGTCAAACCACTCTAGCATGTGCATCTTTGTTCAGCTGTTTGTGCAGTTATAATTGAGCCGTGTCACAACAAAACCAACATAATTGGTTTACGACCAGCACAGTCTGATCAGGATCCATGCTGTTCGCTATCAGTATCTCTACTTGTTTTAGGGTTTGTAAGCGAACAGCATGGATCCTGATCAGATCTGGGGATGCACAGGCTGGTCTTGATCCATGCTAGTCGCAACCCATTATGTTGGTTTTGTCATAGTGCGGCTCAAATATATTCATACTGTCTTCAATATTTCATGCAAACTTTAAACATTTCATCCTTTTGTTAATCTATTTCCTTGTCTGTAATAGTACTTTTTCACTTTATAATGTACACTTGTATTCAAATGATATTTTAGGCTCAATTATTAGCCAGGGGTTACGTTTTGGTGCGAGTCGTAAAGTTGTGGTTGAGAAAGAACAAGAGAAAAGAGGTAAAACTTTCCATGCTTTGTAGTAATTTTATTTTTTCATAGTGATATGTCAAAATTATATGTTTATGTCCATGCAAATGATCAGTTCCTTAATTCCATGTAAGTAACCTTACTTTGCTGATATTGTACACCTGTGTTGAATTGGAAACCTTGATATAAGAACAAACACATAGTTATATGAGTGTAGTATATAAACAGGTATGGTTTACAAATGAGCCGCGTCATGACAAAACCAACATAATGGGTTTGCGACCAGCATGGGTCCAGACTAGCCTGCGCATCCGTGCAGTCTGAAAGGATCCATACTGTTCGCTATCAGTTTATTTACTTGTTACATGTATAGGGTCTGTGAGCAAACAGCATGGATCCTGATCAGACTGTGTGGATATGCAGGCTGGTATGGATCCATGCTGGTCGCAAACGCATTATGTTGGTTTTGTCGTGACGCGGCTCAGTATTCAGTATTCAAAACATAGAAAGGCAAAGGAAACATTTGTTTTTATTGAACTTGTTACATTTCATAAGTTTCTTTAATAATCAAATTTCGAAATACCTAAATACGGCAGCCAACTTTTTATCTACTTTTCCATAATTCTTTATGATTGCTCATTTTGAATGATAATGAAATAATTTGAAGTCCGAAATATTTCACTAACACACTATAGTTTCTTTATTTTCAATGCCCCCCAAGGGCCATACATTCTTTCAAAACAAGAGTGCTTTTAAAACCCCAGGTTGTGTTGTTTAATGTTAGTATATTTATGTCTAATATTTGTCATAATGTCTTGATCAGTGTTAGCTTGACAAATTATATTTCAACACAACAAAAGAAATTGTATTATTTGGTATTTCCTTTTGTTGGCTTTTTTAGATTCCTAGATCTTCAAATAGGGCACAAAGAATATTTTGTTTTAGTTAGAAGTGCATAGAAATAACATTGCTAGCCTAAATGATTAGGTACTAGAGATTGGAGTTTGAATTGTGCAGAAAATGCTTGAAATTTGATAATTTAATGAAACAAATGAAAAACTTCCAACAGATAAGACTAAATTTGTAAAAGCATCCATCTTCGACCATGTCTGACAAAATTATATATGAAATGGTGGTGTTTGTAGATCTCACTCCAGATTACGGCAAATAAAGCAACATTGCATTTACCAGTGCACAATTTAGCCACTGCTAACTGAAAAGGTGCCAAAAAACATCTATAATTATATATAACAACAACAACCAATCAAATTGCCCGTTATATTCCATAATTAAATTTTATTTGTAAACAAAATGCTGCAAATATTGCAAGATGATACATATTTCACCAACAATATCCAAAGATCATTTTTTTATTGTTTAACTGTTAATCTAATGATTCACTGTTCATTTTATTCAGCAGAAATTTCTAGAGGAACTCGGCTATACGAGTATGGTATAGGAATGCAGATACCTTGTATCATCAGCGGACGTGGACTGGTGTTCCCTGATCTAGGTCAGGTTGTGAAAATGCAGAATCTGGTAAGTACAATCAGGTAGCTTTTAGTGTAAAAGTATTGCTTTCAGACTATACAACCATGTATAATATAGTGCAGATACACTGATGTCCCAGTCCAATTTGTTTGACAAATGGATGCAATAAGTAATGTAAGCTTGGAAAAGTGTACTAGTAACTTGAACAAGGGTGAGCATATAGTCGCCGCTTTGTCCGTCCGTGCATCCGCTCTCACGGGACAGTAAAAATGTGGCTAGTGGGACAATAGGTAATTGTTCTTTCTCTTTGATGTCATTCATTCCACGATGCTTTTATGTGGCTATTTTCTTTTGTGTGGATAGAGAACAATAGAGTAGCCACATTATTACTGTCTCATTGGAACATAACTCGGACATAACTCTGAAACCGTAAGAGGTATCAACATGAAACTTTGTAGGAAGATTGGTCTCATTATATAGAAGTGCAGTGCAAAAGAACCATAACTCTGCCTTGCTTAATTTGGTTATAGTTATTGCCCTTTGTTCATTTTTATGCTTTGAACTATGTCTGTGACATAACTCTGACACTACATGAGGTATACTTACCTGTGTCCAAAACCTATTCAGGGAGCATCACTTGGTTTAACTGCTTCTTGTCTTGACTATAAGAATAGTGCTTGAGCTTTCATATGCAAAAAGAGTAAGTTTTCATGCATCTGCATCAACATATCACTTTAATTATGGTGTTGTGTGCAACTTCTTGAACAATTTCATGTCTCATGAGTCAAAGATATTTGCTTGAAACTTAAAAAGTTAAAAGTTTTTGAACCATAATTCAAGGTTTAATTCTCAAAGATGCAAAAAGTTAGTATGCATATTGACTGAATTATGGCCCTCTGAACTTTGAAAATTACTGGTTAAAGTTTATTTTTTCCAAGCCTTAAAACTCAATTTTGCTAGTCTAGGTATTCACTTGACTCTAGTATCATAACCAGGGGTCACTTTCCACTGCCCATAATTCTCGTGTGGATTAAAATATAGCCCTTCTTCCTGGTTCAGTTTAGTGTGCAAGATCTATTCACTTGAAGTCCTTAACACAGTCATGTGTTTCGGATCATAATCACATGCTTATGTAAGTGAGGAGAACCTTTGAAAGTACTTTGTATATTATTTTATAAAAAAAAACTTGACACTTGTAACATCCATAAATGGCAATATGTCAAATATGCATGAGTACTCATTTTCGTTGCTTTGTCAAAACATACCGGTTACTATGATAACTAATTGACATTTGATTCTGATGATTCCATTGAAAACAAGTACAATAAGCTGCTTTAATACAAAAAACAAATCATTGCTTTGTTTTACAGAATGGTTACTGGGAGATGAATGATAATTTGGAGAAATTACTCTGCATTGACTTCAGTATCTGTAAATCTGTTCTGGAGACAGCTGGCTTAAAATCACTAGGTTGGTATCATTTTATTGGCATTTTTCTAACCCTTTTCCTGTGTGATGGAATTGCCGGATGATCAGTTGGAAATATTTCATTCACAGTTTAATGACATGCAATTCAAAATATAAAAAGTTGAGACAACCAACCTACAACCTAGTGCAGGGTTGTCACACTATTTCAAACGTTTCTCACCACAGTGTTGGAGCAGTACAAGATCCAGACCCTTCCAGAAATCATGATCACAAAGTAGAAAAATATTGTTTGAGCCTTTTTTTCGATAATTCTGATATTTTTTGATAGTTCTTATATTTTTCATTCATTATGATATATAAATCAGGAGATTGAGTATTTAATCATTGAAGGGCCTTGTCCAGAATTGTACCGGAATATGCTATTAAGTACTGTACTCCAACACTTTTTGTCCCCTACCGGTTTAACTGGAGGGGACTTTAGGTTTACCCTCCGTCCATCTGTCTGTCCGTCTGTCTGTCAGTCCATCAGTCCGTCCGTCCACAAAACTGGATCCCGCAATAACGCAAAAAGTACTGAAAATATTTTTATGAAACTTGATATATGGATAGATGGCAGTATGGAGATTATGCACGTCTTTTTCTTTTCTTCCTATGTTGAAAATTCTGGTTGCTATGGCAACAAATAGTCTGAAAATATGGCAAATTTAACACATAAACTGGATCCAGTGATAACTCAAAAAGTACTGAAAATATTTTTATGAAACTTGTAAAATGGATAGATGCCAGTCTGCAGATTATGCACATCTTTTTCTTTTCTTCCTATGTTAAAAATTCTGGTTGCTATGGCAACAAATAGCCTGAATTTCAAGATTTCTGATTTAAATTTTTCAGCTTTTTCACTATAAGTTCTTTATTTCTTAAGGTGTTTACTTCAAACTTTAAATATAAGTTTCTGGTCATCAACCACATCATATGTGACAAGGTTTACAACTCTAGCACAAAATCAGTATTACCACCCTTGAACTTAGAATTTTTATGAAAAAAAAAATGTCTTCTTTAAATAACTTCTTTATTTCCTAATGTATCTACTTCAAACTTCATATATATGTTTCTTATTATCACTCAACATTTTTGAGAAGGTTAAATACTCTAGCAAGACTATTTCCAGAATTATGTCCCCCTTGAACTTAGATTTTTTTCGAGAAATTGGTATTTTTTGGTAACTTCTTCATTCCTTATAGGATTTACTTTAAAATCCCACATCATAATAATATGACAAGGTTGTATAAACATAATTTCCTTACTAGGCAGGGAAACTTAACACATTACTGTGAAATAGACAAACTTAGAACTCAAAAGATTTAAGTTCATTCGTGTCATTTATTCACTGGTAAAATTGAAATCAGAATGTTGCTGGGGTTCTAATCGGTAGGGGACTTATGGATTGCTTGCAATACTATGATAATTGCTTGTTTACTCTCACTTGACTATTTTTAGCAGGGAAACGTTTACGATTAATGAATTTCATAAATAAATATTTCACTAATAAAAGTCCTTACTTAACACTAACAGAGATGTTATGATCATCTTGTGATTTTGTTGATGGCAAGAAAACCTTAGTTTTGTGACAACTTCATGTCACTTGTATAATTATGATAATGATGATGTCATTTATTACAGGATTAAAATGCCACGAGGAAATTCTTCACCTTATTTCCACCGCCATAGTACTGATGCAAATGTTCAAGCTTCTGTTGCCACAAGCGTTTCCTCGTAACTGTAAGCTATACTTCGATGACAGTCAGGATGCCGTCATGATCAAATTGGTGTCTGAAAAAATCGAAATTACAAAATTTGATCCGGCTGGTACAGACAGGGATACAGTAAGGACGGCAATAGATATGGCTTTTGAATTCTGGGTATGGGCAGATAAAAGACACCCACTGGTTTGTACGAGTCTAGAGCTGGGGTCAAACTGGTACGAATTTGTTGGACGCTGTTTGAACTTGCATAGAGAAGGCATTAGCCCAAAAATACAGGAGAAAACAATGTTTGCGAAAAGCACTGTAAAACAACCGATTTTGGTATAAACTGTTTAATGAGGTGAAACAGGAACTGATAAAAGATCAAATTTTGAAATATGCATATTTAACCAGGTTTTCCGAAGGAAAAAACTGGTTATTAGATTGAGGTATGTCGGCGGGCGGGCGGATGGGCGGGCGGGTGGTCGGGCGGGCGTAAACAATTTCCTCTGTGCGCAACTCCTTCTACATTTTTCAACGGATTTTGACCAAACTTTCACAGAAGCTTTGTCATCAAGTGCCCTGGCGCATATTGTCGGGGTTTTGCGAGTGGATAATATTTGACCTAATTATGGCCCTTTGTTTTTTTTCCTTATATAGAATATATAGTGAACAATTTCTTCTGTGCGCAACTCCTTCTACATTTCTCAACGGATTTTGACCTAACTTTCACAGAAGCTTTTTAATCAAGTGCCCTCGGGCATATTGTCGGGGTTTTGCGATAGGATAATATTTGACCTAATTACGGCCCTTTGTTTTTTTTCCTTATAAAGGTTATATAGTGAACAATTTCTTCTGTGCGCAACTCCTCCTACATTTCTCCACGGATTTTGACCAAACTTTCACAGAAGCTTTGTCACCAAGTGCCCTGGGGCATATTGTCGGGGTTTTGCGATTGGATAATATTTGACCTAATTATTGCTTTTTTTTTTTTTTTCTTATATAGAATATATAGTGAACAATTTGTTCTGTGCTGAACCCCCTCTACAATTCTCAACGGATTTTGTTCAAACTTTCACAGAAGCTTTGTCATCATGTGCCCTGGCGCATATTGTCAGGGTTTTGTGATTGGATAATATTTGACTTAATTATGGCCCTTTGTTTTTTTTCCTTATACAGAATATATAGTGAACAATTTCTATCGTGTGCAAGTTCTCCTACATTTCTCGACGGATTTTGACCAACTTTTCACAGAAGCTTTGTTATCAAGTGCCCTGGGGCATATTGTCGGGGTTTTGTGATTGGATAATATTTGACCTAATTATGGCCCTTTGTTTTTTTTCCTTATACAGAATTATCAATATATAGTGAACAAATTCTTCTGTGCTGAACTCGTCCTACATTTCTCAACGGATTTTGTTCAAACTTTCACAGAAGCTTTGTCACCAAGCGCCCTGGCACATATTGTCGGGGTTTGTGATTGGATAATTTTTGACCTAATTATGGCCCTTTGTTTTTTCCTTATACAGAATATATAGTGAACACTTCTTCAGTCGCAATTCCTCCTACATTATTCATGTTTTACATTGCACATAGTTACATTGTTTGTTGCTTGTATTTGTATTTCAAATACAACATATTTATCTACAATGGTGATAATTGAAAACCTGGTTTCATGGCATTGCCATGTTTCTTGTTATTTTTAAGTTTGCAAATATGCTTTATGATCATTTAACTGAATGAAAAGAAAAGGTTTTTCAGCATTATACTGTATAAGTGGTTATTTTGTTATGTGGAAATATTTGTGATATTTGCAAATTGAAATTATTCGTGCTAAAGAAATTTTTTTATGCAAACTTTCTTCTATCATTTGCAAACACGTTTTCATACAGCATCTTACATGAATAAGTTTGACTGTTCAGGTACTGAGATTATTTTTTTCTCATTGCTTGTTTGTTTAAGTTCCGTTTTAACAAATCACAATTGTTTAAATAAAACAATATAATGTATTAATAACACAATAGGTTATTCATATAACAAAAGAAATTGTTTCAAAATATGACAAAAAAATGTGTAATCAGCTAGGTATTTATCATACTAACAATGTTTATTTCAAACAGTTATATAAATAATAAAAGTACGAGGGATGTCCGAAAAGTTCATATACTTCTTCATTTCTGATTGTATAACAATACATACATTGTACAAATTTTGTCAGGAAAGATATATATATTCTGCGAACACATTTATAAAAAAATACTGAACTGTGACTTACGTTTGTATTTTAACAGCATTTACATACAACATATATACATCGTCATGGAGCACTTTGACAACGTCAACGGCGTCAATTTAACTTCATGTTTACCCACTATTCAATTTCTTCCGATTTCAACAGCCATTGTACCTGTCTGGCCTATACTTAATACATGTTATGTTGCTTTTACTTTATGAATTTCATATTTTGAAATACTATTTTAAAACAAAAATGTCACTGGTTCCCAGTGTGTGAGATGTCTGTCTATTTCAAAGGTTGTTGTAACGCACTGTACGATATTTCGCCCATGCTACCTTTGGTCGTCTTGGGCATTTCTTATACGATATACTGTCATCGCCGCTTCTTAATCTTGTTTGACATTTAAACACAAGTTGCCTTTAACATTTTATGGTTGGTTTTATTTTTAAAGTAAAGATTTAAATCTGAGTTGGTGCCATATTAGCGTTGCTATGAAGTTAAATATCATTACCTTGCTCTGTCCGTTTTTGCAACACAAAATTTATGCACCTTCGTTGCCAATAACCGTCGTTAACAAGCTGTTTATTTACGTATGACGTCATAATTTTCAGTAAATATCATGTTATAGTATCTGATGATGTCGCAAAATTAAAACAAGAGTTTGTATTAAAATTACAACTTTGAGCAACTTATTATTCTAGTAGCTATCGTCATGAAATCAAAGTTCTCCGTGATTCGTTGATCATGTTGCCATGGTGATCGGCGCATTGCGAATATTACTTTTATCATGTTTTTTAATTTAGAAATATGTAGCAAATAAATACTTTAGCAAATTATTCAATCATTGTATTGATATGACAGCTTATTATAATTGTATAGCCTTGTCTACGAACTTTCCGGACAGCCCTCGTATTTAACAACTTAATAGAACAAATACAAAAACGGTATATTCTTAAATTGTATGTGCGTAATATATTTCGGCGCGCAAAAAGTCCACTTTCTGACATTCTCAAAATTTTTGTGAGGCGTAAATATCCACTTATACAGTACATGAATACTGAAATGTACTGTTTATTTAATGAACTACTTCTGACGAAATCAGTTTTGTGGAGGAAGACAAAAAATATTATTTTGATTGGGTCAGAAAAGCTTTGAGATAAGTGTAAATGTTTTCTGTATTTAAAAATAATTTATATTTTTCTTGGTTTCAGGTGTAGTAGCATTGATTATATATAACTATCTATATTGTATTTTCACCTAAACATATATATGTATTTATAGCCACAAGAAAAAAGAAGTTCAATGAGTGCAAAAGATTTTTTCAATACAAATTCGATTTTTTTTTCTAGAACTGTGATAAATTGTAATTTATTTATTTTTTGTTGACTTCCATAGTTATTGTATTTTTAGTTGTTTTGGTCTGAGTCAAACTTTGTGTCTTACTTTAGATCCTAAATTACCAGAGATTTAAGTTATTTTAAAAGGTACCAACTTGAAACGTGGTATACTTGGTTATCGTGACAAGTTGCAATTGTAAGCATTACTTTCCCCTTATTCTTCTTTTTAGCTTGGAATATTTGTCAAAATTGCCTGTTAAGTAGAATGATTTTAAAACTATGAAAGGTATCAACATAAAACTTGGCGTACTTGATTATTATGACAATGCACAGTTGTAAGACTATAGGTATTATCATTTCCCTTTTTTACCTGAATATTGACAAAAATTGGTTATCTTAACAGACAAGTGTTAACAACCTATATATGGTGCTCTTATTTTGTATTTTGATATTGAATCCCTTAAAGCTGTATACCTCAAGATAGATCAAAATATTTCAAAAAAATTCAAATCTGAGAAAAATGTACTAAGATTTAAGGAAAAGATTCAAGATTTGAAGAAAAATTTGCATGTTATGGGCAATTAATGATTGATTTTTCAGTATTTATTACCATATTTATATTGCTTTCCTAACGCAGTAAATGTTATTTTCCAAAATTTTGACCTTATTTAATTATTTCTCGCGGGTTGTGAGTGCTATTTGTAATGTGTAGATTGCTTCATTTTGGTAACTTCATATTTTTTTACTTTTAAAAATTTCATGAACATTAGCATGAATCTGGAGGCGTGCTGCTTTAAACTGCATAATGGGTGTCATGTTTATCCATTTAAATGGTTTCGCTTGGCTTTTAGCCATTAACTGGTTAAAACTTTCAATAAACAGTAACCAAGGTTAGCATTATACCAATAGTCAAACAATTTTAAGTATGGTTTTATTTATTACCTTTGTTCTACTCTGACTAGATACAACATTTTCTTTTTAATTTAGTCATACAGACCTGTTTTTTTTTCTCAGTTGCATGCTATCTAGTACGGTACAGCCTTAGCAGAAAATAATTGGACATCTTAATTGACATCTTGTTGAGTATAACAACATATGAAGTAAATGTTATATCTTGTCATAAAGAAGCAAAGTTAATGTTTAAAATTTAAGAGTACTTTTTGTATGGACGGTTAAACATTAAACCGATTATTATGTTGCTGTTTAAACGTTTAGCATATAAGCTAAACTTGACACCCCTACTTTGAATGGATTGTCCTTATTTCCAAGCAGGACAAATCCATTACATAAAATCAGCATGTTAAGGATTTAAATGCTCTACTATTATTAAATACTGTAGTGATAAAAGTTATTTTCTTTTTATATTTATTTATAGGAACTGCTGTATATATATAGTGTATATAATTGTATTTTTATTCTTTATGCTTTACAGTTATCATTGTAGATCTATTTGTTTACGCAGAATAAGTAATAATTTTGAATCGATTTAATAAATTTGAGGTTTTTTTTAGAATTTTTTACATGTTTTGAAGTGTGAATAAATAAATCAGATGTTTACCATGATCTTATTTTCTGTAATTTACAAGTGAATGTTTCAAGCTTCTGAGTTTGGAACTGTCAGTTATCATTTTAAGGAACATCAAAATGTAAATTTTAAGTTTAAATCAGCCATCAGTACAATTCCTACACAGCTTAGATAAGGTATATATCCAAATTGTTCAGGTTGTTGCCTTCACTTACATTGAACCTTTAGTCTTTGTTCTGTTGGAGTCATATCATGGGTTAAGATTTCTCTCCTGTGAGGAGGATGTATCCAGCTTGACTTCTAACAAACCCCATCTTGGTTAAATCA